GTTTTATGCAGATACGCTTGTTCCTGAAGCAACGACTGCCAGTTTGATAATATCTGGCCTCTGTGTCTCAAAATTTTAACTAAATTTAGTAGATTATACTTGAAATTGGATTGGCTTAGCACTAAAATCAATCTAATATAATCCAATCAATCAATAAAATTTGGATTTTGTCTTAGTTAAAATTTCGTGATAAGATGTACGTAGTTAAAGCGAAGATGGCAGATACGTATTACGTATACGTATTATATTATTTTTCTACACTTGCTTATATCAGCTTTATCGATAGACGAATAATCTATATAATCGTGTCTATAATTGAGCAAAAAACGCGAAGTATCGAAATATTCCAGAATCTTGAAGATAAAAAAAACCTCGATCAAGTATCAGTGTAGAATCCAATTATGTGTTATAGCTTCGTGGTGTTTTATTAAATTTATTTGTGAAAAAGGTCAACGAGAATCTGATTTCCTTGTCACGATTCCCCACGTTGATATGTTTAACGGTTTAGAAACAAGTCGTGAACTTTAAAAGAAATATAGACGGATCCATTTTGATTTTCTTAAAAAAAAATGGGGAAATGAAATGAAATGGGGTTTAACGTCCTACTGTTCTGCTCCGAACTGGGCTAATGAAGACGGGCATAGGCCATACAGTGTGCTATGAGGTACATTTTGCCCGGACACGGCACTACGGCCTACTCTTGTATCGAATTCAAACTGTCAAGGGATCTCTTACGTGCATACCAAGGGGGAACCACACCAGAAAATCTGGATGAACTTTATGGACCAATGCAGGAATCGAACACCCGACCTCCAGGCTAGCGAGTCAGCCTCTTACCCAGTTAGCCACCGTGGCCCCCGCACCCCAACAAAAAAAAAAGAAAACAAAAAGGAGTATTAAGTGAAATTACACACTGTGCCAATTTCAACATAAATTCAAGGTTATTTCGTAGGCTGTTTTAACTCAATTCAAAAATTATTATTTATATAATTTGAAATGATATGAAATGGCGGAAAACGTCTACGTTAAACATACATTATGCAAGAGCTAAATCTGTTTATTGCAAGTCTTTATTTAGGCTTCAGATATCATAGAAATTATAAATTAGATCTTTATTTACACAACAAGCACAAACTCAACTCTGTAGACCCACGGATGGCTTGGATTCAGCTTGGATATAAACGGGATTTCGTTGACTGATTTAATTTTAAATGGCGTCGTGAACGGAGATTAACCCTAACGTTGACGTCATACTCCCGGATCGAGGCTAAATGATAGAGTGTACGAAGCGAGGCCGCTGTTGAGCGATGCCTTAACAAATGACATCTAAACTATTTAAAGTGCAATAAACTAAACACAGATAATGACAAATTATACAATTCCTGGAGACCGTGTGATGACTAATACAGACGGACAGGTCTTCTGTCTTAATAATATCAATAAAAATATTTTTATTTCCCCAATAGGCACGACGCCCTTGGTGTATACCTATAGATTTATCATAATTGTATTATAATATTATGTCCTATATTCAATTGATTTAATGCATGCCCAAAATACAAGTAAGAATGAAAATTTACCCTCTCACTCATTTTGTCGAATTGTTATAAAAATCCAAAAAGGTAAAACACAAATTCGGATATGTTGACAGCAGACAAAAGAAAGCAGAGATTATGTAGGTGGAGTTAACGCCTGTCAATCAAACGATCGGCCATACTAAGAATCGGTGAAGATGGAATTCAATCCCATTTCTAGTCAAAAATTACACTGGGGATAACTATGTTCGGAATAAAGTCATTTGACTGAAATTTTCAATATATTCTTCTTTCATCATCTATTTTTGAACTGTTATAGCAAGAATGGCTAACTCCCTATAAAAATCTCCCATAATGTATCTTTAATAAAGACGAACTTACGTCATACAGTGAGCTATATGGGGCGATTTTTTTCGTTGGTATGCACATAAAAGAACCGTTGAGTGTCGGAATTCGAAATAAGAGAAGAAGTAGCGCGGCTTTCCGGGTAAATCTTCCCACGTAGCACACAGCAAACAGTATGCCCATCTTTATTAGCCCATTTTGTTCGGGAAAGTGGGACGCTAAACCCGGTAGACATACCACTGTCTGGGCAAAATTCTCCTCATTCCCAACCACTCCTTTATAAGGTGTAGACTGCATCATGTTTTCAACACATACAATTGTTAAATTTGCTAGTTGTATTTTTACAGAGTGTACATTAAACGTTTATCTTATTCAATGATGGGAATGTATAAGTAAAACCAGAAACCCGATTCTCTTTGATATACCCCGCCCTTAACCATTGATTTCTAATCGCATTGCTGTTTGTTACCCTTATTGGAATCGATCTACAACTTATATCACCCAACAGACCAGGTTGTTATACATGGAAAACTATATGAAGTCTGATATATCGAGGAATTTGCAGAGATATGCGCAGATCAGGAATTATTGGACAATGTGGGCTTCTTGTTTTTTAATTAAATAGCGAAGACATGTGTTAAATACAGATCTATGATCTTATAAGTTATTTCAGGGGAAATGTCCAAGTTTAGAATCCCGGCGTGAGTCGAGATGACTTTTCAGTAGCTATTGGATTTGGACACATTGGGATTCTTGTTTTGTAAGAAAATAGGGATAACATCTTTGATTCAGGTGAAAATAATGTGTTGAATACAGATCTATAATCATATAGGTTAGTTCGGAGTCACCCATTATAACACGTTAACGTGGGCCTGAAAATTCCTGGCAGATGGAATTAGAGAGAGAGAGAGAGAGAGAGAGAGAGAGAGAGAGAGAGAGAGAGTTGAACGTCCACTCGAAACAAACTAAGTCATTATTTAAATTCATCAAAAATATGAACTGAAATGTATTTTCTAAACAGTAATTTTAGATGTTTAAATCAAAGCAACAACAACTAGGCTACATAACCTCTTGGCCTCGATGTAAGTGGATGCTTCGCGTTGTCAAATTAGAAATGGGATTTCAAACTGATTCCAAGATCCTAATATGTACGAGTTTTATAATCTTAAAACATCAGCACTTTTTCTGCTTTCTGTTTTATTTGAATATCTTGAAAAGTTTGTTATCTTGAATAATTTCATGGACTTATTAAGGAAAGGGTGTTTTTGTAAATTTTTTTGAACTTGGTCCACTCCTTTTACAACCTAGTAATAAAATATGTTATTAAATAACCGTCATTGAAATTCTAACAAATTGGTCAACTCGGGCGTACACCAACATCCCACATTAACAGAATTAATAGAATGTAGCGATCGGATTGGTATGGTAACTCATTTTACAAATTCATAGTTCCCACGACTCTAAATTTCAAAATCAGCACACGCACACCCTGCCTCGTATACATCTCTAATGTTACAAGAAACGGAAACGTCCAACAGGAAAACTAAATGCCCGTTTTCTGATCTGTAATACGGTCAAATGTCCCATTACAGTCGAAATAAGAATAGGGGAAAACCCAGGAGGTTGGACAGGCGACCCTAAACCCAAATAGGACTATCAACAACCCTGGACTAGTCAATACTTACGACTCGTACAGAATCTCAGGGAATAGATTTGTATGAAATGATACATGATAAAATTGTATATTAAAATCTCAGTAATACAGATCAGCAAAATCCCCCAAATCTCAATAAATCGAGTTCTTTTAATTTACTGAACAGAAAAGTCTCCCAAATCTCAATAAATCGAGTTCTTTTAATTGACTGATCAGCAAAATCCCCCAAATCTCAATAAATCGAATTCTTTTAATTGGCTGATCAGCAAAATCCCCCAAAGGTGCCACTATTCATCTTTAATCATAACTCACGCGCAAACACACTCACATGCCTTGATGGTGATGGGAACGTTTCTTGAAATACAAGTATTCCACTACACTATAGCTCCTGCCGTCCGTTTTATAATCAATTTGAATGGACATCAACTGGTTATCGTCAATAAGACTCTTTGTAACCTACAACCACGAGTAAAACTTTAAATTGTATAAAACAGGCCTTGCAAACAACAGAACCCGAGTGGACGCTAAACCCATCTCTCTCTCTCTCTCTCTCTCTCTCTCTCTCTCCAAAAAAAACTAAATAAATCGTACCGCCGTTTACAAGCTGGAGCTCTGTTTATTGATATTTAGATAATTGCAATGTCTTGATTGTATATTTCGCAGAATGATAGGATATTAAACTAGTCCTTTGCTGGAAATAACTTAGATCACAGATAGTATTTACTTCAGGTGGGTATAAAGGGGGGTTGGATGGCTGAATGGTTAGCGTGCGCGCGCTGTATCATAAAGTCTGTCATTGAGTCGACTGGCGTGGTTTCGAATCCCCGGTTGTACGTAACAAGGAGTAGGGTCGCCTGTCCAACCTCGTGGGTTTTCTCCGGGTCCTCCGGTTACCTCCCACTGCTAAAGACCCCTACGCGCAAGCGAATTATTGAAATAAAATTAAACCATATGTTAGTCCCGAAATGACCTAGTTTGTGTTGAGTGGATGTTAAACCTCATTTCTCTCTCTCTCTCAAGTGGGTATAAAGAGGATAAACTGAAACAAAACTCATATTTGTTGATAATTCGCTAATATTAATCTGTGTGGTTGTAATCATCACAATGATACAGTATGAAACTTAACTAAATAGAAAAATAAACTTCGTGTGAGTTGTGATTAATTCAATAATATTAATCCATTTGATGGTGTTTAGATGAGCTTTAATACCATACTAGTTCTAATAGATGAAAGACAAGTACTAGAAATCGCTTAGACCACAGCGGGCATTGATATAACATTTAGATATTAACAAATAAAACCAAGAAAACTTACCTCCATATTCAGCAATTCAGTTATGTTAATCCATTTAACCGTACGTCGATGTTAATAGTAATCTTAATAGAACTAAGGCTAGTGCTAAAAATCGCTTAGACTACAGTCAGTATTAAAAACATAGATATAGCAAAAAAAACCGAAAACTTACCTCCGTATGAAAACAATATGGCTTAATAATTCAATACTTTTTAATCCAAATCCATTTGATTGGATCTTGTCGAATGTTAATAACAGACTCGTAGTCCTAATAGAAGAGATGCCGGTGCTAGAAATCGTTTAGACCACAGCGAGTATTAACATCACATGTTTAATGGTAAGACGCCGATACACAACTAACTAACTGACTGCATATATCGACGACGACGTTAATACATTTCCTGCCGCCTATCCGATGTTCACCATCCATTAACTTATTTTGATGAATGCGATGTAAATGTTTGTGTTAGTGTATAGAATTAATGTTCAGATGTTAATTGGAGCATTTTATATTATTGCTATATAATCAATATACCGTAGGTTAATTGTTTGTTTTGTGTAAGAAATAGGGTAATTTGGATACAAACATGATGGTATTAATTGTTATTTATGTATATGAATAGCGTTGTTCTCTTGTTTTTGGTAAATAGAGATGACCTGAATGGTGTAAGTAGACAAGAATTGGTTAATTTTGATATTAACCTAAGTGTGTAAAAGGAGATAAATCGCTAATATTTAGCACTTAGAAATTGACACAAATGGGTCTACACAAATGGGTCTCAACGCATATAATAATGTAATATAAATGTATGTAAACTGATTTACAGTCAATCGTTTCTGTTTTTACTGTAAATTCTAAGCGGTTATGTTCGACGAAATACGCCAATCGAATGGCAATATCTAGCGTCTGGTTATTCTTGTCTACACCGATAGTATTTATTGCGCATGCTCTCCAAATAAGAATATGTCATCACCGTTTGACATGACTTGTGGAATATGTCTAGCCTTGTTTTACAAGTCCTTTGTTACAAATGGCGCCGAAACGCATTATGGTACACGATTCGTGTGCCAATGGTAAAATGTTTATTTTGTCTTAAATATTGGGTATCAGAAGCCCATCTATTTCCGGTAAGATCTCAAATCAATGTTGATTTAAATTGACAAATAATTCGTGTTTTCAATGTCGAAGCCTATGGATGAGAGAGACAGAGAGAGAGAGAGAGAGAGAGAGAGAGAGAGAGAGAGAGGGGGTAAACGTCCACTCGGCACAAACTAGGTCATTTCGGGACTAAAATATCGTTTTAATTTTATTTCAATTGACTCAATGACAGACCTTATGATATAAAGAGCACGGTTTACACCGCTCTATCACCGTGGAACTAGGGGGCATTCTAGCTGAGAGAAGCAGACAGTTGTGAAAATGCGATACAAGACAACACAAACTCTAAAGGAAAAAAGTATCAGAAAAGAAACTATTTATATAGATAGATCGATATGGTTATATTGTCAATATATTACCCTTAATTATAGGACTGTCTGGGAACTTTCAAAGGCACATTTTTTATTTTATTTCATATAACAGGGAAACGTAATGAAAAAGATTTTTATTTTTAGGAATAAATGGATTCATAATTACACAGTTCGTTCAGGAGTACCAAGGGGGCGTCGGTGTATCTTTGTGTGGAATAGGCTTATTTAAACTCAGTTTCTAACCATGTGAATGACGCTCTTTAACAAGAACCTAAGACTCCGCCAATGAAGGTACGGTTGACGTGAACTTTGGCAATATGGCTCGGGGCCGTCGGTGTACCTTTGCGTGGAATAGGCTTATTTAAACTCAGCGTGTAACCATGTGATATCTGGGGTTAGCGATAAGACCATTGTTGTTATTTCAATCTGATTAAAATACAGATCTATATTTCGTTTCGTTTTTTTTATACTTTCGATGGCCTACACTACAAGGAGATCTGACCAGTTGTAGCGATAGGTCGCGTCAGAGGTCATCTGAGCAGCTTTTGACCCTATGATGTCAGACATTTAATTAATCAATCAGCATTGATGTTAGTAGTGGATTACCCACAGTTCGTGCAACACACGCCTAAGGCTCGCCGTAACAGACCGTTTCATTAGCTATTCCCTCACATCATCCAGAACACGTCAATGATAACAACTCTTCCAGATCCGGGTGTAGTAAAGACAAGTAAAACGAAATTTTGAACTATATAAACGAAACGAAATAGGATCTGTGTTTGAATCAGATTGTTGTTATTTTTGATTTTCTTCTTCTAGTGGACGACGCCCTTAAAGAAAAACCCAAGGTTCCATCAATGAAGGTACGGTTGACGTGAACCTTGGCAAGATGGCTGATTTCCAAGACGGCTGAGACGACGTCATACTATGTTTCTAATCCATAAAACGCTCGTTCTCTTTTTTCCACAAAGGGGATGAAACTCCCACTAAACCAATCCATGGACATGGACCGCCAAATCATATTGTCATAAAAAGTAGCAAGTTTCTACTTCTCCTGCTTTATAAGTGGGTTTGAATGGCCGAATGGTTAGCGCGTGCGCGTTGTATCATAAAATATGTTTTTGAATCAACTGACGTGGATTCGATCCGTGGTTGTACTTGACAAGGATTCGGGTTGCCTGTTCAACCTCGTGGGTTTTGTTTGGGTCCTTCGGTTTCCTCCCACTGTTAAAGACCACTATTAAAATAAAATTGAATCATAATTCATATTATAGTCCCGAAATGACCTAGTTTGTGTTGAGTGGACGTTAAACCCCATTTCGCTCTCTCGCTTGCCATAAACAGTAACGAGTTTCTACTTTGCCTGGTTCTTATCAACGATATCATAACTGTGGCAGCAGATGTTAAAACACCAGCTACTGCGGCTACACGTGATATTGCCACGACAAGGAGCTGTGTGTGTGTGTGTGTGTGTGTGTGTGAGGGAGGGGTGGGGTAACGCTAAGTGGACACAAACTAGGTCCTTTTGGGACCAACATATGGTTCAATTTTATATAAAAAAATTCTATTGTTCTTAGGGGTCTTTAGCAGTGGGGGGAAACCAGAGGACCCGGAGAAAACCCACACGATGTTGGACAGGCGACCCTACTTCTTCTCACTTTAAAATAAAGAACATTCCACCAAATATTACGCTTTAGGGCATCGCGATTCATTGCTATGTAAAAGTCATAGGACAAGCCGGTTTGTTCATTTCGTTCACAATTTATTTATCTTTACTGTTTCTACTTAATTAACTGTCTGTAAACTATGACCTCCACCCTCAACCCCCTGTAGTAGTATCTGAACCAGTTCTTGAATATTTGAAAGATGTATGTCTAAGAAATTTATGGAAAACAACTATTAATAGATTTGGTCGACATTTCTGGTAGCTTGATAACGTTTCGTAACACTTCCTAAATATATTAGAAGCTGTTTTCCATACGTCTGTTTCATAGTTTATTACAAAATATACCAGTAGCTGTTTTCCATAAGTATTATTACAGTTTATTACTATTATTATTATAACATTAGTAGCTGTTTTCTATAAGAATGTATTATAGTTTATTACTATTATTACTAAATATATTAGTAGCGATGATACATAACAATGTATCATAGTTTATTACTACTATAATATATCAGTAGCTGTTTTCTGTAAGTACGTATTATAGTTTATTATACTAAATATATTAGTAGAACATTTCTAAGAAACTTATGGAAGACAACTAATAATGGATTTGGACGACGATTCGGGTAGCTTGATATCGTTTAGAGAATATTAGAAGCTGTTTTCTAGAACGTGTTATAGTTTATTAGTATAAATATTAGGTATGTGTTATAGTTTATTAGTATCAGTTTTTCACAAGTATGTGTTATAGTTTACTATACTAAAGCATTTATAGCTGTTTTACATAGTATATGCTATAGCTTATTACTAAATATACCAGTAGCTGTTTTCCATAAGTATTATTACAGTTTATTACTATTATTATTATAACATTAGTAGCTGTTTTCTATAAGTATTATTACAGTTTATTACTATTATTATTATAACATTAGTAGCTGTTTTCTATAAGTATTATTATAGTTTATTACTATTATTATTATAACATTAGTAGCTGTTTTCTATAAGTATTATTACAGTTTATTACTATTATTATTATAATATTAGCAGCTGTTTTCTATAAGTATTATTATAGTTTATTACTATTATTATCATAACATTAGTAGTTGTTATAGTTTTTTACTAAATTTATATTAGTATATGTTTTCCATAAATACTTGTTAAAGTTTAATACTAAATATATTAATAGCTGTTTTCCATAAGTATATGTTATGCTTTATTACTCTATCCAGTTTCAGTAGGACGTTAACCCTCGTTTCATTTCTATTCAGTTACTAAATACATTTCAAGCTGTTTTCCATAAGTATGCGTTACAGTTTATTACTAAATATGTTAGTAGATCGTTGTCCATGCGTATGTTGCATATTATACTAAATATATTATTGGCTATTTTCAGTAAGTATGTATTATAGCTTATTACTAAATGAGTATTCAGTAGTTGTTTTCTGTGTTATGAAAGTATGTGGTATAGTTTATTTCTAAATATATCAATAGCTGTTTTCCATAATTATGTGTTATAGCTTATTTGTAAATATGCCACAAGCTGTTTTCCATAATTATGTGTTTAAATTTGAAACTGAACATGTGCCATAGTTTATTACCCTATCCGGTTACTAAACATATCAGTATCTGTTTTTATGTGTTATGTTTTCCATGTGCTATAGTGTATTACTATATCCAGTTACTAGCGTAGCTATATTAATGGCTGTTTTCCATGTGTTATGATTTATTACTGTATCCAGTTACTACATGCATCTAAAAGATTAATAAAATCATTTCTAGACTGTTTTTATTTGGGTCAAATCTAATATTATCGATCTCACTGTATTTCATACTTGGACTTGTTTTGTGGGACGACAACCTGTCTTCGATGACAATTTTACATCTATATATAAATATAAGTAATCGGATTCAACCGATTGTCTGCGATATCACCCCGAGGGAAGCAAACGATAACTAAATCCATCAACACATACAGTTCCAACCGGCATTGTTTGCAACTGTACGATCAAAATGAAAATATAATTAGCAACCTAATCGATATCTTTCGGGTTCTTCCGATCACGAATCGAAATATGACATAAGACTAACCCAATCGATACCTTATTTTGAACTAAATTAAAACGGGGTTTAACTATTTAAATGCTGTAATTGTCGGCACTATTGGAGAGAGAGAGAGAGAGAGAGAGAGAGAGAGGGGAGTTTAACGTTCACTCGACACAAACTAGGTCATTTCGGGACTAATACATGGTTCAATTTTATTTCAATAATTCTCTTGCGGATAGGGGCCTTTAGAAGTGGGAGCAAACCGGAGGACCCGGAGAAAACCCACACGGTTGATCAGGCGACCCTACTCCTTGCACGCACAACTGGGGAATCGAAACCACGCCAGTTGACTCAATGACAGACCTTATGATACAGCGCGGACTTGCTAACCATACGGACTACCATCCCGACACTATGGAATTCCCAGTAAACTGCAATATATATTAAGAAAGTTTCATCTCTAAAAGTGATATTAGTCCAAAATTAGCACAGTTCTGTTCCGTTTATACACAGATAATTATGAAGAATTGAAGAATTTATCGATCCATGCTGATCCCTATGTAACAAGCCGTTGACATCCTTTTATGCCGTGAATCAAATTGGTTGACGCGTTTTTAATCCGATTGAAACCAAGCATAGAGATTAACTAGCGTTAAAATTTTGATTTTGTTTTTTTCTCTTCATTAAACATACATTATGACGTCACATTAATAATGACGTCATTGCATCAATCATATTAAACATACATTATGCAAGAGCTAAATCTGTCTATTGCAGGTCTTTCTTTAGGCCTGAAATGCTATCTAAGTTATTAATTAGACATTAATTAACTTATCAAGACCATAATCAACCCTTGATGTCATCGCTAGCCTGCTATATTTACTTGATTAGGATCCGATTTGAAGCTCAACTTTAATTCATGATTTAATCATAAAATGGATAATCGAGACTATGCTTTTTATCGTACCAACTTAAGTAATGATGATCGAGGCTAGGTCGAAAATTCAATCACTAAATTCTCGGTTGAAAGTGGATCAATTTGACAGAAATTTTCAGCAAATTCACTTTACATTATGTAATTTTCAACTATTATAGTGAGCACTGCCAGCTCTTTATCTAATCTCCCATAATGTTTCTTTAAGTGTCAAATAATCAATCTGAGTCCATATTTGGTGAATATTAAGCCCTGAGAAATTTGATATTTTATCGAAAATGCAAATGGCGTATCGGGACTTGAATCTAAATGAATTGAAGAAAACTAATCTATCTTTATATTATGAGTTGTTTGTTTTTGACTTTTAACATTTCGTCTTGTTTACAATTTATATTCCGCCATGAGAAACGCGAAAACAACAGCAAGCCAATCATCTAAAGTTACCGTGTTTTCAAATTATATTTTATATAAAAAAAATCAGAGAGAAAAAAGTTTTTATATTTGTGAAAGTGATTGGGATTGATTTTGTTTGTCTATAAGATATGTAACACATGTTATTTAACGGTTGCATGATGATGTAGATTTTAATACTAGAATAATAGGTTTGTCTAAATACAGATGGAAAGGTCTGATTAAAACACAGATCATATTTCGTTTCGTTTTCTATAGTTCAAAAATTCGTTTTACTTGTCTTTACTACACTAGGTTTTCCGACGTGGTTTCTCCTTGTCAGTGATGCAGAACGGAGGGCCTGACAAGGACAGCTGTCTAGTCCTTCGGATGAGACGAAAAACCGAGGCCCCGTGTATACATTGGATTGCACGTAAAAGATCCCTTGGCAGTTGGAATTCGATATAAGAGTAGGCGATAGTGCCGCTGCCCGGGCAAAATTTCCCTCATAGCACACTGTATGGCGTATGCCTGTCTTCATTAGCCCAGTATAAGAGCAGAACAGTAGGATGAACCCCATTCCATTTCATTTCATTTACTACACTATGATCTGGAAGAGTTGTTATATAAGCCTCGTTCTGGTTAATATGAGTGATTAGCCAAAGAAACGATCTGTTACTGCGGGTTCTTGGCGTGCGATGCACGGGTAAACCACTAGCAACGTTAACGCTGGTTGATTAATCAATGTCTGACGTCATAGGTCAAAATCCGTTCGTATGACCTGTGACGCGACCTCCCACTACAACCGATCAGATCTTCATGTAATGTAGGCCATTGAAAGTATAAAAGCGAAACGGAATATATAGATTTGTATTTTACTCAGACTCGTTCACATAAAGAAATGAAAAGTCGGAAATAATCTATAAATGTATTTTTTCTAAAAATTTCAACTCGTTTTTGTTCTTAGTGATAAATTTGTTCACATAGCTAAAAACTTGAAATGAAAGGAAATGAAGTCTAATGAACACGAGGACACATCACGTAGTGTGCTATGTGGGACATTTTGCAAGAAAGACCTGCAAATCAGCAGATTTAGCTCTTACATAGCAATTGGTTATCTCGGTTTTTAATCTTTGTATACAACTTCACTACTCTGCAGTTGATTTCCGAATTTTCCAAGATCGGTTCTCATTTGTCTATGGTGGTGTCTACATGGCTGGTTAGGGCATAGATCAGTTGTGTACGTCCAAGATCCCCTGGCAGTGAAATGTCTAAGAAGAGTAGGCGTAACAATGGAAATGAAAATCAACCCCCGCTCCATTCCCAATATCGAATGCAAAAATGATGCATGTATAAATCTATTGTTCTGACAAGCTGCAATAAACTGCAATCATATAATTGGCCATTACAAATGTATATAAAGACCTGTTATTTATATCTGATTCTGATTACGTACATTAAGTTGAGCAGGTCGATTAGAAAAAATGTATTTTTAGTTTGTTTTAATGTCGGCAGATGTTCGCAGACATTATCTTATGAATGTAGATTATTTAAATGAATGAAAAAATCAAATTATAGAAACAATTTATCGATGAATTACCCTCATTGATAACCATTAACAATATATACATATAATATAAGTCGAATTAAATGGCGTCACGTTTCCGTTTCACTCTCAGTGAATGTTACCACACGCTTTAGTTGTTCCAGGTCTTTATTCTGTAGCGCATCCCTGAAAAATACATATAACATTGAAAAAATAAATGAAATGGAATGGAGTTTAACGTCCTACTTTTCTGTACCGACTGGGCTATTGAAGATGGGCTTAAGCCATAAAATTGTGCAATGAGGGAAATATTGCCCTGGCAGCGGCACCATGACCTACTCTTATATCGAATTCAAACAGTCAAGGGATCTTTTACGTGCACGTCAGTGTATACATGGGACATCGGTTTTTCGTTCCATCCGAACGACTAGACAGCTTTCTTGTCAGGCCCTCCGTCCTGCACCACTGACAAGGGGCTACTATACCCTTATTTCGAATTCCATTTGAAGTTCATTTGTTTTTTGTTTTTTTAATTAAATAGAAAGATACCATTGCATTGGAATTCAGTGCGTAAATCAAAAAAGTAATAAATAGCTATTTAAAAATGTCTAATCGACTATAAAGTTTCGGGATAATTAGGTATTCCTAAAAGTACTAGCACAATATCTAATTATGATCGTCTCCCTTTATAATAGGCAATATTACCCACGTCACGTGTAGTATCAGTTAGTAGATATCAGCTGAGATACATTTACAAGTGTAACGATTGAGTAGAGTGAAGCCGATTGTTGTTACTAACTATATATAAAGTATGTTTAAATACAGCTATGCATAATTAAAAGATACATTATGGGAGATTTGATAAAAAGCTGACAGTTCTCACTATAATAGTTAAAAACTAGATACTGTAAAGGGGATTTGCTGAAAATTTCAGTCACATTGATCCACCCTAAACCGAGTATGTAGCGATTGAAATTTTGGCCTAGCCTCGATCATCATTACTAAAGCCGGTACGATAAAAAAAACATAGTCTCGATTATCCACTTGTTGATTTAATCATAATGAGCGTTGAGCAGCACATCTGATTCAAATCTAGTACATATCGCAGGCTAGCGTTGACATCTAGAGTTGATTATGGTCTGGATAGGTTAATTAATGTCTAATTAATAATATAACATTTTAGGCCTAAAGAAATACCAGCAATAGGCAGATTTAGCTCTTGCATAATGTATGTTTAACAATATCTCCTCTATATTATTATCTATGGACCTGACCCACCGCAAAGGACCATAAGGAATGACAGTTAGTAATTGGAAAGTTTCAACAAGTCGTTATATCAAGCATATAAACATTTATTTTGATATGGTTGATAACCTCTTGTGAAATCTAGTTGATTAAACTAAAGACATTTCACATCGTTGCAAAGAAAGTAGCGTAACGTATCCCTAAAGCCTAGCGCACACCGATAATCGCCTCCGTATTGCTAGGATATTTGACGACAAAAAGAACGGTGAGCATGGGGCTTTCTCACTAGCCACATGTCTAGTAGTTCGGATAAGACGATAATTCGAGGTCCTGTGTATAATATTGTCAGTCGGAAGTCGAAAAAAGAACAGGCTGTAGCACCACTGTCTTGGCAAAATTACCCTTATATAGCCCATTCCATGGCGTCTTAATTAGCCTGGTTGGTGCAGTAAAATTAAACATTAAATACCATTTTATTTATAAACATGCTACCTTTAATATTTTACAAAACATATCGAGTTCATCGGGATTTTTCAGGAGTGGCTTTTCCTTGTCAGTGGTGCAGGACAGAGGGTCTTACAGGGGTAGCTGTCTCTTCGTTCGGATGGGAAGAAAAACCGAGGTCCCGTATACACATCGGCGTGCACGTAAAAGACCACTTGGCAGTTGAAATTCGATATAAGAGTAGGCTGTAGTGGCACTGTCTGGACAAAATTGCCCTAATAGCACACTGTACGGCGTATGCCCGTCTTCATTAGCCCAGTCTGAGCATAACAGTAGGACGTTAAACCCCATTTCATTTCATAACATATCGACTACTAACAGAAAAAAATCTTAAAATAAAACAGATTTTTTTTCCATAACAAATTTGAAAGAAGAATGTTTTCAATCCAATCTATCGTTGAAGTATGTATATATCCTCTACAGAAATAAAACAGATTTTGTTCAGATTAAATTTCAACTTTCTTATCGATATAAATATTCTGATTTCTGTCAAATTCTACAACATTTTTATTTAAAAGACAAAATGTGTGTGTGTGTGTTAGTTATCTTGATTTGAGTTTTGCATGTTGCTTTTAAAATATGCTGCAATCAATAAATGCCATTCAAACTATCCAGCAGTCACACTAAAAATAACAAACCAGAGCTTTGTTTAAACCAATTCAATTGACTATCAGACATAAACCAGCATGGTGTATGGTTTAATTTAAACAAAGAGAGTATCAACACATATCTTAACACTCGGTCATCAAATATAACAACGTCTGGCTTATAGGTCGACGAGGGGGGGGGGGGGGGCGGGGCACTGAATAATAAGGTCCTGATTGAGTCAACTAGCGTATACATTTCTTTAGATCAGTATATTTAAATAAAAATGAAACGATTTTTAACGTCTTACGGTTCTGCACTATAGAATCTTATCAAGGCTTTTACGTAATACCCTGGCTATTTCGGCACTAATTTCGATTGGGTATTCACCCAGCTTGATAGCCTATCCGATAAGTGGATCATCGCGAATACCAAGTCAAGTGCTTTCCAGCTAAAATGTCTACCTATGATAATCGAGCTATATTTGATTTGAGCAAGTTTGTGTCACTGCCTCTGATTGGACGCCACTGTTCACATGTGTGCAGTAAATGGCGATAACATAACTAGTGTGTAGGAATTGTAAAGCAATTTAGCAACGCCCAGATGTTGTAAAACTCGCTGTCGTTGCTTAAGGAACGTGGCTCTAGCTGGGCTATTTGGGGAATTTAGCCTGGACAGCCTCGTTTTCGCTAATTCGAATTCCAATTATCAAGAGTACTTTTACGTGCATGCCGACATGTACACGGGACCTCGGGTTTTCACGTCATCCCAACGACTAGACAGCTGTCCTGCACCATTGATAAAAGGGGCAACTCCCGAGGAACTTTCTCGACCAATTCCGGGATTGAACCTGATTCCCACTAAACAATAGCAGAAATGGTTAGCACATGCGCGCTGTATCACAAGGTCTGCCATTGGGTCAACTGGCGTGGTTTCGATTCCTTGGTTGTACGTGGCAAGGAGTAGGGTCGCCTGTCCAACCTCGTGGGTTTTCGCCGGGTCCTCCGGTTTCCTCCCACTGCTAAAGACCCCTACGAGCAAGCGAATTACTGAAATAAAATTAAGCCGTGTGTTAGTCCCGAAATGACCTGGTTTGTGTCAAGTGGATGTTAAACCCCATTTCTCTCACAGACATCCGGATGGAATCAGATACTGGCTAGTTACTAAGCCAGCATAATTTCCGCTAAACAATAGTAGAAAAGGCTAGTTACTAAGCCACCGTGTTTCCCGCGAAACAATAGTAGAAAAGACTAATGTCACTACATGTCGCAAACAAAAAAACAACAAAATGAAAGTAGCCTACCGTTCGATAGAGAATATCATTGTTAAGTTAGCGGCAATTCCAGACAACCGAGTCTTGTTAGACGCAAATATTGAATTACGGAACTCGTTATGGGTTCATAATTAAAATTTAGTAGACAGACAATGTGCTAGATAGAGTGTTCAATAGAGGGAAACTAACTTTATTAAGCAGAAATATCAATGTTTATAGTCTTACCCGAGCAATATCCGCCCTGATTGATCCGTCGATATCTTCTGTATAGCTTCACGTAATCGGGGTTTATCATAGGGAACTGCTAACTCCTGTAATATAGAATCTAGGTTTATTATAGGGAACTGCTGTAATATTGAATCTAGGTTTATTATAGGTAACTACTGTGCTACGAGGGAAATTTTGCTCGGAGAGCTGTGACAAAGTGCTCCATAACTTGCTCCATATCAAATTACGATTATATTGTATACATGTCAAGTATTTATTTAAATACAGAGAACCAATTTGAACCCCCACATGTGTAATCTCATTGATCCCCATGCGTTACTGTTCTACGATGTACTGTCCACTACACGTCCACTACATATATACACTATTTAATCACGGACGTAATAATTTCCACATTTAGTGACAATGCTTTCGATATACGAAGTATGTAAGACCCTGTGATTTCTGTAGTAAGGAGAGAAGAGACCCAGACGAGAGACGAGCGGGGAGGAGAAGAGAGGGGCAGACCTGGGAATGGGCTCATTCGAGTTCAACCGCTGCCGAGGCAGGAGGGCGGAGTGGTTGAAATAGGGTCATATACTACATATACTACATTAATGTACCATGTTGATGCTTAGTTTATGTTCTTGGTGTAGTGTAGTTCCTGTTCCTGTTTAATATTCTGTTACGATGTAAATAAACCCTATATGTACGAAACTGATTTCTTTTATCACTAAGATAGTGTTACAGCATACTCTTATTTCGAATTCCAACTGACAAGGGATCTTTTATGTGCACGCAACGTGTACATGGAACCTCGGTTTTCGTCTCTTCCGAACGAAGGGATAGCACACCGGAAAATCCCGATGAACTTTCTCTGCCAACACCGGGAAAGAACTCGCGACCTCCAAGCCAACGAATCAGTGTCTTATTCACTCAGCCACCGTGGCTCCCCAAGCATTGGAAGGTGGGGTATTCTTGTAGAGGATCTGACCACCTAACAGCCCGACTATCCCGCGACCCCTAGTTTATAACAAAGATAGAACTTACGTCTAATGCTGTAACAAAATCTTCCGGTGTTATACAATAACTTCCGGTCGGGTCATATCTAGCTAATATATCAATCAATCTGATATCATTGACCATGATATGTTCCTTTAATATCACCACCGGTTCTTTCTTCCGGTACGGATTAATTCCTCGTTTGTGTAAATCTTTCTTCGTGTTGCCAGAGCGCGCCACTGGACCGTGGATAACTCTAAAGTCAGGTTTCTTGGACTTTATCTCTTCTACGATTCGTAAAAATTCATATTCTACTGGAACGTCCTGAAAAAGGTATGACACGTTCGGAATACTATGCAACCATTTCACAAATATATGTCACACTCGGCAAACCTCAGCAGATTCCAGTACCCTATATCTAGCCTCGGCTGTATGACGAAGTCCGCCATCGGAACTACTTTCAAGTTCCCGGATTACCAACGACGTTGCCCATGACGACGCCTTTGAAGAATGTTTTATCATACAAATATTTCAAAGTCTGAAGCTGTTTTTCTTTCAGGTGTATCCCATTTTCTTCAAACAGGGACAACTTTGTACTAAAAATTCTACATACGCATCGAACGACGCAATTTTTAAAAGCGGAAGTTTTCCTAATAAGTAAACCGGTGCCGCATCGCAATTGTATAGGCGTAGGTACATATCACTTACCGTCATACAGCCGAGGCTAGATGTAGAGTAACGGAATTGGCCGAGGTTTGCCAAGTGATATATGTCAGAGAGAAGTCAAACCCCTCCACTAATGGCGTAGTATTCACCTACAACACCCAAAGGTCTAGATACGCTTTACACAAAGACGTGTGGTATCAATAAAAGATGGCGTTAAATATACGGCAACAAATGTTACAGATCCAAAGACGTGTGGTGCAGGTGAACAGATGCAGGTGAATAAGGCAAAAATGCTACAAATGGACGAGGGACAGAAATATGTCATAAGTCGTTTATATCGTTACGTGTGAAATCAGCGGGAATTAGGACCGGAAGTGACATTCCCGTCGCCATTTTGTTGTAATTCCAACTCCCAAGGCTTCTTTTACGTGCATGTAGGCCTCAGCGTTTCGTTCCACCTGCACGACTTGACAACACTGTCTTTGTTAGCCCCGCTCCCTGTATCACAAGATCTTTGGACTAAAAATCGAATTTAATTCTTTGATTATTATGTTAAGTAAAGACTTACTGTTAGATCTAATAACTGTAACTCACAAGCTTCATAATTATTAACCGCATTAACCAGAGCTATAGCACCACCAGTTGTAATCAGATTATTACCCATCTAAAATACAAAATATAATAATACCCAGATAATTACAAAATGCCCAGGACATAACTAGTGCTATAACACCACCAGCTGTAGTCAGATTATTACCCATCTAAAATACAAAATACCCAGATAATTACAAAATGCCCAGGACATAACTAGTGCTATAACACCACCAGATGTAGTCAGATTATTACCCATCTAAAATACAAAATACCCAGATAATTACAAAATGCCCAGGACATAACAAGTGCTATAACACCACCAGCTGTAATCAGATTATTATCCATCTAAAATACAAAATACCCAGATAATTACAAAATGCCCAGGACATAACTTATAGTGCTATAACACCGCCAGCTGTAGTCAGATTATTATCCATCTAAAATACAAAATACCCAGATAATTACAAAATGCCCAGGACATAACTTATAGTGCTATAACACCGCCAGCTGTAGTCAGATTATTATCCATCTAAAATACAAAATACCCAGGAAATTAAAGATACATTATGGAAGATAAGATAAAGAGTTGGCAGTTCTCACTATAGCAGTTAACAACTAGATAATGTAAAGGGAATTTGCTGAAAATTTCAGTCAAATTGATCCACTCTAAACCGAGATTTTAGCGATTGAATTTTGGGTCTAGCCTCGACCATCATTACTAAAGTCGGTACGATAAAAACATAGTCCCGATTATCCAGTTTTTGATTTAATTATTAATGAGCGTTAAGCAGCAGATAGGATTCTAATCCAGATAATATCACAGGCTATCGATGACATCGAGAGTTGATTATGGTCTGGATAAGTAAGAGGTGCAATTGGCAGATTTAGCTCTTGCATAATGTATGTTTAACTAGATCTATATCACCACCATTTGTAATCAGATTATTTAGGTTATTGCCCATCGAAAATACAAAATATACAAGACATTATCTAGCGCTATAGCACCATCAGTTGTTTCAAAAAGAGTAAGCATGTGTTATCTTATGCACGACACTGTCCACGTCATTGGCACTGGCTCCATACAAAGATTCTGGCAACGATAAAAGCAGAGCAATAGCCTACCCGACGTGGGATCCGGGGACCGAGGTGCCTCTCTGCCGACACTCTATGTTGTTGATGTTATTACAAATTTAAAGTCCAATACATAATACACGAGATTATGGACAGGTTGATTTAATTTGTTATATACATTTGAAGAATAATAAAAGCAAACAGGTAAAAACATAAAAGCAACGATTCTTGGGATAAATTTTGTACTTACTCGTAATATCCGTAACGTGTCGTTGATTTTAAAAGATTTTGCTATTTTTTCTGCTGAGAAGTGGTTTAATCTGTTACCAGTTAGATCTAGCTCTATCAGTGATTGGTTAGCAACTAATGCTTCAGCCATAGCAACACCACCTTCCGGTCCGAAACCATTCCACGCTAAGCGACAAACTTTTAATCCGACATTTTCTTTTAGGCCTTTAGCTACAGCACAAGCGCCACCTTTCCGCAGGTGATTCCAGCTTAAATCTAATGTATCTAATCTGTCGTTAGCACCTGGTAAAAATAATAAATATATATCTTACAAACTTTTACTTTTCTTTGTGTACAAAAACTATTTAAGTGGGAATGGAATGTGGTTTAATGTCACGTCAACGCAGTACGTTGGCCTTTTTGTTAACACGGTACGTCAGCCATTATGTTAACACAAAAATGTCGGGCATTATGTCAAAACAAAAACGTCGGATATTTTGTCAACACATTTTGAGACGTTCATTCGTTCGTTCCTTGAGGCTTAAAGTCCGCTTCCTACTTGCGTGATATCGCAGACAGTAATTTTTATATCTATGTTCATGTGTGCGATCGCGAGGCGAATAATTTTGCCGGACAGCGAATTCTTAACCAGCTTTCTTCCATTTCCAACTAGTTGTTGTTTTATTTGTATATGATATGGTAACCACGGTGCCTCAGCGGGTAAGGCGTTGGTTCGTTAAGCTAGAATTCGCGTGTTCCGTCCCTGCATTGGCCTAATAAGTTCATCGGACAGAGGGCCTGGCAAGGGACAACGTATAGTCGTTCGGATGGCACAAAAACCCGAGATCCGATGTACCCATTGGCGTGCACGTACAAGATCCCCGGCAGTTGGAATTCGATCTAAGAGTAGGCCGCAGTGACGCTGTCCGGGCAAAATTTCCCTCATAGCACACTGTATGGCGTATGCCCGTCTTCATTAGCTCCTTCGGAGCAGAACAGTAGAACGTTAAACCCCATTTCATGTCATTTTGTATTCGGAAGTACATAGGGTGTTCGCCGTTGCGAACGTTTCATTTCAAAGGATCAGGATTGACGAAGCGAAACTATCGACATTTTTTCACAAGACAGTGGGTTTTTAGTAGATTCAATTGAAGAAAAATCTATAACAACTAAACTTCTAAAATACAAAAAGGTTAGATGTCTAAACTCCATTTCTCTCTCTCGATTCTTAAACCTTTAATACATCAATTTTGAGTAGAATTGTAAAGGGCAGATCTTTTAAGGTATTTTGTAATTATTGTATATTTGCTGGAATAATGGAGACTACCTTCCATATTTAACTTATAGGGGATGCTAAATTGAACCTTCTGAAATTGAACTTTCTCAAACTAAAAAATACGGACATTCGAGAGAAAGGGGGGATTTCGAGCTACATCGCATGAGCCTACTGCATAAGAAAATAACTCAACCAATCATGATAGCTGAAAGATATTCATTAGATTTAATTACGTCACGATTCTACTCCCACCACCTCAGTTGTTGGGACTGACAGAACAGTGACGGGACTGTATTCCACGCCACTCGATTAGAATTCTGTCAATTCAAGATGTTCCGGACTGCTAATCAAGCATCCCCGATAGAGAACTCTATAAATAAATGAAATGGGGCTTAATGTCCTATTGTTCTAAACAGGTCTAATAAAGACCGGTTCAAATATAAATATCACCTGTTCTTACCAATAGCAGGTCCAAGCCATTCACCTCCAGCTTCCCCGAACCGATTTCTACTTAAATCTAATTTCTTTATATATTTGGATTCCTGAAAATAGAAGAATAAATTAGAGATCCGGGAACAAAGACATTTGTTGTTAGAATATTTCTAAGTTCCATAAATCGTAAAATACAAGCACTAAAGTGAAATATGTGTTAAAATGTTACAAGCACAATTTTAAATATGGGTAAGGCATTATTATTAATTAACGGCTCAATCTGATTAAAGCAGAGATCCTATTTCGTTTCGCTTTTTTTATAGTCCAAAATTTTGTTTACTTGTCTTTACTACACCAAGATCTGGAAGAGTTGTTACATAACCCGCGTTCTGGATGATGTGAGGGATTAGGCAATGAAACGGTCTGTTACGGCGAGGTTTTTTTTGACCGTGAGGTTCACGGTACTGTGGGTAACCCACTGGAAACATCAATGCTGATTGGTTAATCAAATTCTGACGTCATAGGGTCAAAAGCCGCTCGTGTGACTCCTGACGCGAACCCCACTACAACTGGTCAGATATTCATGTAGTGTAGGCCATGGAAAGTATAACAAAAACACGAAACGAAAAGATCTGTATTTTAATCCGATTGTTAACGGCTATACCTCAATAGCTGTAGCAAAATGTTCAGCACAATTATCATCAAAATCATTTCCTGAAAAAAAAATGGATATTTATCCAATATTTATATTGAAACCACGCTATTCAATTACAGACCTTATGATCTCAAGCAAACACCACCACCCCACTACGCCACACATTCACCCCCCCCCCCATCCCCGCCACTCACACCCACCCTCACATCGTTCACCCCCACCCGCCAGTACGAGGGAGTCTGTATTTAACATAGGTAGACATTGAAGTGAATAAGATATAACTTAACCTAATTACATAATCTATAATAAACCTTACCTGATAAATCTAATATACGTAAACCAGCGTTTATATCTAACATCTTACACATCTGTATACCACCTTCATTACCTAATTTATTATCACCTAGTACCTGTAATATATATTATATATACATATAATAGTACCTGTACCTGTATATGTATTATATATTATCACCTGATACCTGTAATATATATTATATATTATCACCCAGTAGCTATAATATATACTAATATTTGTGACTTTCGTTTGTCTGTTTTTGCGGGGTTGGCGGCTACACTAGGTCTGCCCCGAGTCTGAAATTTGGGGTATAGGGGTAGCTCGGACCGGGGAGTAACATAGGCCAGGCGGCGTTAGTCTACCACTTCCGGTTTCGGGGTTATGACCCCCGAGCGAAGCCGGGCATTCTTCTAGTATATATTAAAATACCTATAATATTATATATTATAGACACAGTCCAGATATAATATATATATATATATATATACGGACAGAGAGAAATGGGGTTTAACGTCCAATCGACACAAACTACGCCATTTCGGGACTAACACATGGTTCAATTTTGTATCAATAATTCGCTTGCGCGTAGAGGTCTTTAGCAGTGGGAGGAAACTAGAGGACCCGTAGAAAACGCACGAGGTTGGACAGGTGACCCTACTCCTTGTCACGTACAACCGCGGAAACGAAACCACGCCAGCTGACTCAATGACAGACCTTATGATACAACGCGCGCTGTGTCATAAAGCCTGTCATTGAGTCAACAGTAGGACGTTAAACCCATTTCATTTCATTTCATTTCTAATTACCCTGCGTTTCATTATTCTGTAATTACTATTCTACATATCAGCGCAATTCGGCCCCCGATCTTACCTTCAATGAGACAGTTATTTGATTAATAGAAGAGAAACTATTATTAAAACTGACAAAACAAATCCATCATACGATATCAGAAACGTATCTTTATTTTTAATTGGCTGTTTACCATGTAAATGACCAATAAAGAACATGTTTGTATTAATTCTATGAAAATAGAATATGGCGGTTGTTACTATTATCAGCTTTCTCACAACGCCAGATGTCTACCGATAAAAACACAATTTCGGTTTTCAATGGATCTTTTGTCGATGATAAATATATGGTGATTACATTTAAAAGAATTAGTTATATTATTAATTAATCAGTTGTCTGGTATGCCGATGTTGTCTAAAACTTAAAGTGGCTCGGTGGCGTCTCGAGTTCGATCCCACTGTTGGGCCAGACAGTTCTGGTCTCATCTTTCAGGCCGGAGGACCTGAAAACTAAACGTGTCCAGCGAGCAAGAGAGCAAGAGAGAGGGGAGAGAGGGGGGGATTTGGGGATTAAATGGTTTAATTTTATTTCATTAATTCGCGTAGGGGTCTTTAGCAGTGGAAGGAAACTGGGGAACCCAGAGAAAACCCACTGGGTTTGACAGGGAACCCTACTCCTTGTTCTCGTACAAGCGGGGAATCAAAACCACGTCACCCGACTCAATGACAGACCTTATGATACAATGCACACGCGTTAACCATTCGTTTATCGTTCGAATGTGACAAAACACATGGACCTCGACTATACCATTGACAGACGGGAACTGAAATAAGCGTAGGCCGTAGAGTTGTTGAACGGGAAAAACTGTCTCCATAGCACGCATTAGGCGGGTTTAAATAAAACGTTAAACGCGATCTTGTGTTTGTCTCGAAAGACTAGGCCATTGCCCCCACCCCCTTCCTCCCCGTTCGGCAGAACTGACAAGCAGGGTCCATGCTGGAAATCTTTGCCAACGCCGGGGTCGAACCCAGGTTCCCCTGGTTGGTGAATCAGCACCACACTGATTACTGAGACTGAAACTGAAAACAATATTGAATACATTGTGAGAAACATTCGTCAGTAATTGAAAACGAAACATCACATACCACTTCTGTTAGGTAATCGTTTTCTTCCAACATCCTTGCTATTGCCACACCCCCTTCCGTCTGCATCCAGTTACCCTGAAGATTCAGTCGTTCTAGATGAACATCGTCCTGGAAAATAATAAATTAAAAGCGCGTTAAATTATCTGTTATGGTGTGACAGAATTCAATGCACACTTTCATTGGTAACAGTAAAACAAACACCACAAACAATTTAAAGGAGCTAAATCGCTAATATTCTGGACCTAGAAATTGACACAAATGGGTCGCAACGCATATAATAATGTAATACGAATGTATATAAACTGATTTACATTCAATCGTTTCTGTTTTTACTGTAATTTTTAATCAGTTATGTTCTGCGAAATACGCCAGCAGACTCAATCGAATGGCAATCTTTAGCGTCTGGTTATTCCAGTCTACAAAGATAGTATTTATTGCGCATGCTCCCCAGATAAGAATATGACTTCATCGTTTGACACGATTTGTGGAATATGTCTAACCTCGTTCTTCGAGTCCCTTGTTATAAATGGCGCTGAAACACATTATGGTACACAATTCGTGTACCAATGGTAAAATGTTTATTTTGTCTTAAATATTGGATATTAGAAGCCCATATTTTCCCGGTAAGATCATAACATCAATGTTGATTTATATTGACAAATATTGAGTTAGAGACTTAGCTTCTTTACAGGAGGACGTTTGAATTTGCTATACCGAAAAATTATCAAGTTAATAATTAGGTTTAATATGGAGCTATTTTAGTCGAAACGTGGAACTGCAGCAGGAGACAAATACGTTATACTGAAGACCTTGGGCCACAGAGGTTGCATTGTAAACCTTATGGACTTTACTTGTGCCGCTGTCAGACCGGGGCGACGTCCTTATTGCGCACAAGGTTGCCGGCAAACGTGAACACAACGCGAGAAAATGTCCCAAGAAATTATAAACTTGAAAAAAAGCCGCGTTCTCACAGCTTTCCCAGGTCAGATCGCAGAACCTTGGTGTTTAATTGAACCTTCCGGTCATGTCTAGAAACCTATGTAAAATCTGATTTTTTTTTCTTTTAATAAAGTATGATGGCGCTTCTTTGTCAGCTTGTTCCAATTTACTTTTAAAGGTACTAATAGAAAGTCGGTTCCATTCTTTGATCGTAATTTACGACAATTTAAGTACGATCGACATGAAACATGGCACGCTCGTTCCTTGAAAGATTGGACATCCATTGGCGGACACCGAGTTTCCATATGACGCCAAAAATCCGAAATGGCGGCGATGTCGTCATGCTCGGTCCCTGGTCCATATAGTTACAAGTGATTCTCAACCAGTGTATCGCGAGATCTTCCTAAGTTTGTCGCAAACTGTTAAACAATACACTAAGAAAATGCGAAAAACCGCGTAATCCCAATTGATTATTCACTGGTGTCTATTGATAAGTTCATAGCTGTGTTAGTTTGAGTCAGTCTATTTTGTATGCCGTCTCAAATACCATGTTTTTATTTTCCAAAATTACAATATTTTTTATATATATTTAGCCAGGTGTGCCGCTATTTTTTTACGTGTTCCAAAGTGTGCCGTTGGCAAAAAAAGATTGAGGACCACTGATATAATACTACCGTTCTTGCTCACCTTCAGCGTGATATTTAAAATAATGTGATATACGTTTAATATTTACCTTTAATATTAAAGATATTGCTTTAGTAGCTGATGGTCCTAATCCATGAAATCTCATTTTAATATCCCGGTCATGTATATGTCGTATAAAATACGATATAGGTACCACGCCTAGATTTTGACACACTTGCTTGTAATGGCTGACTGTGCGATCTTCTTCAACAGGTTCCTCTTCTACAAATACATGGTAAATATTTATAATATCAACTTAAACATACATTATACAAATTATGCCTATTGCAGCTCTTTCGTTAGGCCTGAAATGTTATATAAACTATTAATTAGACATTTATTAACATGAAAAGACCATAATCAACTCTTGATGGCATCGGATTTCTCCGATATTAAATAGATTAGAACAGTTCGGCCATATCTTGATTTAAGCTAAAAATTGGAGGAGCGAGACTTAGCTTCAAACAACCAGTACGGTGGTTGAAATTATTGCACACATCTTGTCAAACCTTCAAAGGTTATTATCTTCGCTCGCAAAAGAGTAATTTGAATGAAATTTTCAAATTATTCATATTACATTATCTATTTTCGAGCAATTATAACAAGAATGGCTAGCTCTTTATCTAAATCTTACATAATGTATCTTTAAATCTGATTAAAATACTGATATATATATTTTTTTTTTTTTATACTTTTCGATGGCCTACACTACATGAAGATCTGGCTAGTTGTAGTAAAAGGTCGCGTCAGAGGTCGTACGAATGGCTTTTGACTCTATGACGACATCAGACATTGATTGATCAATCAGCGTTGGCGTTTCTGGTGGTTTATCCATAGTTCCGTGCATCGCACGCCAAGAAGCAGTCGCCGTAACAGATGGTTTCATTGGCTAATCCCACGCGCCATCTAGAACGCAGGTAATATAACAACTCTTCCAGATCTAGTGTAGTACAAGCAAACAAAACGAAATTTTGAACCATAAAAAAACGAAACGAAATACGATCTGTGTTTTAATCAGAATGTATCACCTTCTCAATAAAATACCAGTGATACAGAGAATCCGTTTCACAGGCACCTGTAGGCCTTAGCGGGACATTTCCGAGGCCAACACCGGGAATGAACCTATAACTATAGCGGCCAGCTCAATATAATCTATTATAATTTATTTATTCTGTTTCACATTTATTCGTTACACTGTTTACAATATATATATATATATAGTCTTCAAAAAAAGTAAGGGACATTCAGCAATTCGTCGTGGCATGTTCCTAATCAACCGTCCAATCACGATTTGGGCCAATTCCTACAGTGATGTCGGTTGACGTTGACGTCGACGAACACGTCTCCCAATCAAATTAAACGTAACACACTAAAGCAAGGATACGCTAAACAGTAAATTTTATGCATGAATCGATAGGAAAGCAAATATAGATAGATCAACCAGCATGCGGCAGTTTTCATCAACCCTTCTTTGAAGTGTCAAATTTGACAATGAACACCGACCACGTGTATGGCGCTATTGCATGTCGCATGTGCAGCTCAGTGGTTCTGTTGGGGCGATAAATTCTTAATCTGTGAACATACTCTCAAAGCATATCGCAACCTGCATAGGTATTTGCATTTCAACATTCCCTACTTTGCAGAGTATATATAAATACGGCAGGTACGGTGGCTAAGTGGGTAAGATGCTGGCTAGATAGCCTGGAGGTCGCGTGTTGGATCGCTGCATTGGCCGAGAAAGTTCATCTAGATTTTCCAGCGTTGTTTTCCTTTGTCAGTGATGCAGGAAGGAGGACCTGCCAAAGACAGCTGTCTAGTCGTTCGGGTGGGATGGAAGAACCGCGGTCCCGTGTAAAGTATTGGCGCGCACGTAAAAGATCCCTTGGCAGTTGGAATGCGATATAAGAGTAGGCCATAGTGCCGCTGTATGGCAAAGTTTCCCTCATACCACACTGTATGGCATATGCACGTCTTCATTAGTCCAATCGGGGCAGAACAGTAGGACGTTAAACCCCATTTCATTTCATTTATATATAAATACATTTAGCCAGTGCATAAACAACTAATTATTTTATTAAGATCACTAAAATCGGAAAGGATCTCTTAGACCCGGAGACGCCCTTTGCTTAATGGACATTTATTTCATTATGAAGTATGTACTTTTATTTTCATTATGTAAATTTGTTCATATATTATTTATATTATTTTCTAGATTTCACACAGATTTAGAATCTACATGAGACCGTTTACATGAATATAGGTCTTTAATCTACACGACAGACCGTGCAGGGAATTAATTATTTATTGCCATGAACACGCAATAATTGTTTCTTTTTTAATTCTGAAAAGTTTGTGTATGCTTAAAAGGGAGAGAGAGAGACCGAGAGAGAGAGAGAGAGAGAGAGAGAGAGAGAGATGGGGTGTAACGTCCTCTCGACACAAACTTTATTTCGGGACTAACACATGGTTCAATTTTATTTCAATAATTCGCTTGCGCGTAGGGATCTTTAGCAGTGGGAGGAAACCGGAGGACCCTGAGAAATCCCACGAGGTTGGACAGGCAACCCTACTCCTTGTCATATACAACCGGGGAATGGAAACCACACCAGATGACTCAATGACAGACCTTATGAAACAGCTCGCATGAACTACCCATTCGGCCATCCACCCCATGCTTGATAGGAATATACTCCTTACCAGTTTTAGCTGAATCTTATATTAGTAAATGGTGCTCTCTCTCTCTCTCTCTCGTTCTCTCTCTCTCACTCTTTAATAATAATAACCTACTCTAATCTATTTTGTCCTGTGTAATCTGGGACTATCCTTATTTGACGGATTAGTAATCCATTGCAAGTTACAATATTGTAAAATAAAATTCCTTTCAGCTTTTATAACGATATGATGAATTAAACATTTCTCAACATTCGACATCTATTTTAAACGATATAGCAACTGGTCAACACAAGCAAGCACCACCTCTGAAATCTGAAATTTCTTATTAGGCCACATTCAAATTTGAAGTTGGTATCCTGGGTTTGTTTTCTTAATTAAATGTTAAATAATCAATCTGAGTAAATGTTATTAGTATTGAATAAGCTGTGAAAGAATACTGACGGATAAATGCAGGGTATATGGCGTTGGTCCATGCTGAGTGGATGTCTATAGACTATATACTTTCTAGAGATATATACAATAGGATCGTCGTGGTTATCAAGTCACCCGTACAACTGCAGAATGGGGTTCTTTAAACGAGTTATTTCTTCCCGGTCAGCATAAAGTTAATGTGTGACTTCCGCTTTAATGCATGTCACTTATCTGGGATTCACCTATGTAATATCGGATTCCCTCTTCAATGTATATGTAATCTGGGATTTCGTCTTTAATGTATATGTAATATGGGTCTTCCCCTTTCACCTATATGTAATCTGGGAATCCCCCTTTCATGTATATGTTGGGTTGTTTTTTTATGTATTCTGGTATTTTGCCCTTTAATGTATATGTAATCTGGGAATTCGCCTTTCGCCTATATGTAATCTGAGAATCCCCCTTTCATGTACATGTATATTATGTCGGGTTAACATAAATTTAGTGAGTGACTTCCGTTTTAATGCATGTCTGTAATATGGGATACCCTCTTTAATGTATATGTAATATGGGATACCCTCTTTAATGTATATGTAATCTGGGATTTCGTCTTTAATGTATATGTAATATGGGTCTGCCCCTTTCACCTATATGTAATCTGGTAATCCCCCTTTCATGTAAATGAAATGAAATGGGGTTTAACGTCCTACTGTTCTGCTCCTATGCTGGGCTAATGAAGACGGGCATACGCCATACAGTGTGCTATGAGAGAAATTTTGCCCGGGCAGCGGCACTATCGCCTACTCTTATATCGAATTCCAACTGCCAAGGGATCTTTTACGTGCATTCCAATATATACACGGGACCTCGGTTTTTCGTCTCATCCGAAGGACTAGACAGCTGTCCTTGTCAGGCCCTCTGTCCTGCATCACTGACAAGGGGGAACCACGCCGCCCTTTCATGTATATGTTGTTTTTTTATGTAATGTATCTGTAATCTGGTATTTTGCCCTTTAATGTATATGTAATCTGGGAATTCCCTTTTCACTTGCACGTTGGGTTTGTTTGTTTTTATTTAATGTATGAACAAATACAAAGAAATGGTATATTACCCTCTTCTTCCTCTAAATCAGTATCCCAGTATTCGTCTAGTCTACTCTCAGTCATCGGTTCTGCACAAACCGGTTCCGGTGTGGACATAGCCTCGATCTCCATTTCACCCACTCCCAGTTCATGCTGATAGAACTGTTCCTCGTCGCTGTTCTCCGAATCTTCCAGAAAAGATTTACCACTGATCTCCGTGATGAGGACCGGATCCACCACATGTTCTGTTACGCCTGTTTCTAGTTCCTCTGAGATCGTTCTTGCGTCAGGTGTCTTACCTGGAGTCCTCACTAGTTTTGCTCGACCAGATAAGGTCGGTATTCGAGGTGTGGACGATGGTCGAGATTTCATTGATTCCATCTCCACCTCAGACGCCATGATTAATGTATCGATGTATTGGTGGCGCTGATCGTGTAGCTGTGAAAAATCTATAAATAGTGGCTTCTCTTCATTGTTTTCACCCTGAAACACACAAGAACATTTTTTACTATTTTGGCAATGTTTCATCACAAAATCAAGCACTGCTTGTGATACCAATTAGTATGGAATTCAGAGGCCCGTGCGATGAGGCCTCGGGCTCATTCACCAGGAGGTCCAGAGTTTAATCGGTATTTTTATAGCTTGTTCCGCTTGTGAGTAGTGAAGTCAGATGACCTGGAAAGGTGAGCCTTCGGTGGGCCAAAAATAATATGTGCATCCGTGTACTTGTGAAGTGTAGACCGACATGTCGCTGTCCGGACAGAATCCCCAGATAGCGTATGATCATTTTCATTAGCCCGGTTGGTGCAGAAAAGTTGGACTTTAAACCTCATTTTATTTCCAACTCGGCCACCCCCCAGTAAATCATAGCAAGGAATTGCCCAACAAAACATAACATGAAAACAGCTGAAATAATAACCGTCAAGTCTGATCTAGGAGCAATTAATACTATAATCAAGCATTTGAACATTATACTTGGACGACATATTTTTCTTGTATCATGCATATTCATACATGTCATTTTAGTATAACAGAATTATTATACATTGTAAATTGAGACCAGTAATACCTATAGTCAGACACTAATCTCCTACACTTGTTTCAATATAATTATATGTATCATTGTTTTAATCTTTTACAAACAGAAGTTTTAATGCATAGTTGTTTTAAGGATTTGGTATTTAATTAAGCTCCTTCTACACCCTTACGTATTGTCTTATAATTAACATATTTTCATTTAGTATAAGTCACCAGTGGCGACATTGTGTTTATCTTGAAAAACTATTGGAGATTAGTGTCTCAACAACCAAATCATATAAAATATATTAAAGTTTCATATAGAGACATATTTTTGGTTATAAAAAGAATGCACATCATATTGTTGAGCTTTTTTAGTTGTTAGTCGATTTTAATGTTGTTCCTGCTTGAATAAATTCATATACAGATTATACCGTTGTTCCCGTTTATGGAAGTAACCTACTAGGTTACAATACCCCACTTACAGAAGTTAAAATAAGATCTAAGATTAAACATTGACATGACCTCGAATTACATTGCGATTAATCTATAAACCCAGTAAAATGTTATATGATCTTTTATTGGTTTAAGATAGATTAGGCGAGTGCACGACCTTTAATCTACGTCCAGAATAATCTCTATTGATCTATGCCGATATTGTGACACGCAACACGACCGATTAAATATGATATTCGTCAGACTATCAGAAAGGCTATTGACAACGTAATCTTATATAAATTGGACATATAAATTGAAATGAAATGGAGTTTAACGCCCTAGTGTTCTGCCCCGATTTGGCTAATGAAGACGGGCATACACCATACAATGTACTATTAGGGAAATTTTGCCCAGACGGCGGCACTACGGCCTACTCTTATATCGAATTCCAACTGCCAAGGGATCGTTTACTTGCACGTCGATGTGTACAGGGGACCATCCGTTCCATCCGATTCCGAACGACTAGGCTGTTATCTTTGTCCGGTCCTCCATCCTGCACCACTGAAAAGGAGAAACCACGCCAGAAAATGCCAATGAACTTCCTCGACCAACACTGGGAGCGAACCCGCGACCTCCAGGCCACCGTGACCCCCGATTCCTTAGAGCAACGGTGATTCAGTGAATAAGGCGGTAACTCAGTAACCAAGAAGTCCTTAGTTCGACCCCAGCGATAAATTGCCTCGGAATTTTCCGGTGTAGTTTCGCTTTAGTCCTTCATAGGGTACACGTTGATGCAGAGAGGAGGCCGATAAACCACGGTTCGTTTCATTTTCAGATGAAAGCATCAAGCACCTGCTGGTGACATTGCAATAATTAAAGATATCCCTTTCTGTTCGCGTAGAGAGAAATGGGGTTTAACGTCCACTCGACATAAACCAGGTCACTTCGGGATTAACATATGGTTCAATTTTATTTCAATAATTAGCTTGCGCGTAGGGGTCTTTAGCAGTGGGAGGAAACCAGAGGACCCGGAGAAAACCCACGAGGTTGGACAGGCGACCTTACATCTTGTCACGTACAATCGGGGAATCGAAACCACGCCAGTTGACTCAAAAACAGACCTTATGAAACAGCGCGCACGTGCTAACCTATCGGCCATCCAGCCCCCCCCCCCCCCGTCTCCGACAGCTTATAAAAAAGAAATTAAAATACCTACATCGAAATCAAAGAAAAAGCACAATAACCGTCTCTGTGCAAATATGCAAACCACTTATAATATCATATTACAGAAGCATAAACGTTTTTCATGAAAACCAAACACGAATCATTTATTTAGTCAAGTGCGTTTTTTATATACGTTATAAAGCCAGTTTTAGATCCATTTATATGCACTTGGCAACGATGATCAACGTAACTATATCTTTTATACGTTATTTACTATAGCATTAAATGTTCTATATATTTTATTTTTCATACCATTTATCTTTTGACATATTATTTAAAGGAGCTCATTCCGTCTATTGCCGGTCTTTCTTTCAAGGAGCTAAATCACTGGACATACACCTGATTACTGGGTGTTAATTCGCTAATATTTGGGACCTAGAAATTGGCACAAATGATTCGCAACGCAATGTAATATGAATGTATATAAACTGATTTACATTCACCCGTTTCTAATTCAATCGAATGGCAATCATTAGCGTCTAGTTATTCCAGTCTACGCCGATTATATTTATTGCGCATTTTCTCAAGACAACTTTTTTTTTGGGAGGGGGGATGGGTAGTGGTTTAGACTTTCACGCTTGGGTTTACTCGTGGGTTTACTCCGGGTACTCCGGTTTCCCCCACAGGAAAGACTCATGCGCGTGCGCTAAGATAATGAAAATAAGACAACTTGTCGGCGATATCACCTTCGGTGGAAGCGGACGTTAAACACTAAGAACAACAACCGATAAGAATATGGCGTCAGCGTTTGACATGACTTGTAGAATATATCTAGCCTTCTTCTTCGAGTCCCTTGTTATAAATGACTCTGAAACGCATTATGGTACACGATTCGTGAACCAATGGTAAAATGTTTATTTTGTCTTAAATATTGGATATCAGAAGCCCGCCTTTTCCCGGTAAGATCACAACATCAATGTTGATTTAAATTGACAAATAATTCGTGTTTTCAATAGTGAAAACTTTGGGTGGTATTGAGTTAGAGACTCTTAGCTACTTTACCCATTTGGATTTGGGTCAATTTCTAGGTCCCAAATATTAGCGATTTAGCTCCTTTAAGTTTATTTATAACAGCACGTGTATATTAAATAAAACGGAGATTGTCAGTCTGTATATCGCTTTAATAAGTTATCTGTCACGTACATATTTTAAATCATTTCAGACCGAAGAAGGTTTTTTTGTTATATTATTGATCGTCATTCGCGAGATTTTGAATCTGAAAGTTGAATCTCTAATTCATTTCGGGAGTCACGGTGGCTAAGTGAGTAAGACGCTGGCTCGCTTGCCTGGAGGTCGGGTGTTTGAACCCTGCATTGGCCGAGAAAGTTCATCCAGATTTTCCGGCGTGGTTCCCCCTTGTCAGTGATGCAGGACGGAGGGCCTGACAAGGACAGCTGTCTAGTCGTTCGGATGGGACGAAAAACCGAGGTCCCGTGTACACATTGGCGTGCACGTAAAAGATCCCTTGACAGATGGAATTCGATATAATTTGTATTCGCTGAATAATATTCCGAACAGCTCCTGTAAAGCCGCTATAATCATCATTCGCAATTTTGGACAATATCTTTTTTTTCAAGGTTTAATACAACATTATAAACTATACCCAAATTAATTTAGAAAACAAGACTGAAATATTAACTGTAGATAATCTCCCGAGCTGGATTCAATGGGATTAAAAAGAGACTCATCAAAATTATTTACCCAACATATTATTTTAAGATTCAATATCTCCAAAATGATTTTTTATATTTCAGTGCATTGCTGGTGGTTTACTTGGCGTTTCGCCGATTGAACCGGAATTGGTATAATTGCGAAACCGGAAGTGATAGTGCAACGCCACCAAGCCTATGTTACTGGTCTCAGACTAGTAATTATTTGTCCATTGACTTCAATGTCAAATGGCTGTAACACCACAGGCTGTAGCCTTTGCTCAACATTCCGTTGTTTCCAATCTTTATAGCAATAAGGAACACATTTGACAATCTCCTCATGATAATTTTGTAAGGGGCTGACCGTTTTAATTTTCTGCTACGAGGGTTTGATGTTGACTGGGGTCAAAATCTCACTTCCGACACAATGATTGCTCTGCAGAAAGACACTTTACACCCCCTATCCTTCCGCTGTAATATCATCAGTATTACCCAAAACTGCTATGAAATTGCAAATTTGAACCCTATTCTTCAATTCTAGACCAAAACGACAATCAAAAAATGCAGAAAGAGGGGAGAAATAAATTAACGGAAAAATTGTCTATTTTAACTCGCACTACATTCGTGCGAATACGGGGAAATAATTACTAGTCTGAGTCCTACTGCCGACTCACGCTGCCATTATAACAAATTTTTCTGTTCCGGGAGATTATCTTAAATTCTAGTCACACTTGTCCAATAAGAAAGCCATACTTCAAGGAGTAGTACTAGTAGTAGATTAATGTTTGAATATAGCCAGTCATACATTTAATACAGGGCTCAGTGTCCTCTTGTAGATTTAATTTACTGGTAAATATTCTGTCGTGTAGTTTAACTCAAGTAGCAGCCATGTTTGATTTGTGTCTAGCGGGAATTCGGCATGCCCAGAAGTATAATGAATATAATAAAAAGCGGTGAGAAGACTTTAAAAGTAGAAATACCTCCAACCAATATTAAAAGATTAATTGTTCAGGGTCTTTCTACGGGATTGTGTCTTGGTATATTATTATATGCCAAGTCTTCTTACATTGCGTTTTATTTCATTCCTATCCGCTATTCTTTATAATCCTATATACTCTGCGTCTTCATGTGGTTAGCGCGTGTGATGCATCATTAGGTCTGTCATTGAGTCACCTGGCATGGTTTCGATTCCCCGGTTGTACGTGACAAGGAGTAGGGTCGCTTATCCAACCTCGTGGGTTTTCTCATGGTCCCTCTACGCGCAAGCGAATTATTGAAATAAAATTGAACCATGTGTTAGTCCCGAAATGACCTAGTTTGTGTCGAGTGGATGTTAAACCTCTCTCTCTCTCTCTCTCTCTCTCTCTCTCTCTTTAAAGGTAAAAGATAGTGTGTTAGTATGTGTATTGGGCGTATTGATATTTAAAGGTAAATGATATTGTGTGAACATTTTTATTAAGTGTATTATCCCTTAAAAGTAAAAGATATTGTTTGCGCATGTTTATTGATTGTATTGTACTTTTACCACACATACAACATGTTGATTCAATAAAACTCTCAGAGAATATCAATAAATCCCCACAACTGTTCATTATAATGATACAATCGAACGTTATTATTATATGAATATATCTCGATTGTTGCCTATACTACAATAACATTTATTTGTTTCAAGGCCGTAGCCCAAAAACGATATTAAGGAGCGGCTGGGGGTAATACCCAACTAGACGTGCTCATAATTGATCCTGTAAACACCGATTTGAATAAATCCTAAATCTAATCTTTATAGAGGCGGAGAGAGAGAGAGAGAGGGAGAGAGGGCGGGGGTAACGTCCACACGACACAAATTAGGTCATTTAAGGACTCACATATGGTTGAATTTTATATTAATAATGCGCTTAGGGTCTTTAGCAGTTGGAGGAAACCGGAGAACCCGAAGAAAATCAACGAGGTTGAACAGGCAACCCTACTCCTTGTCACGTACACCTCAGGGAATCGAACGTTATCTAGGGAAGAAAATATTTTATATATCTTATTTAGAAAGGAGGGAGGTGGGTATTAGGGAGCGGCTAAATTTTCTGGATAATATTCTATATAGTCGTTTTAACCTACGGAAATGTGTGCTATATGTTTTATATTTGTGTGGGGGGGGGGGAAGCAGAACAGTAGGACGTTAAACCCATTTCATTTCATTTCATGAAATTCAAACGTTTATTGTATCGATTCGATATAAGAGTAGGCCGTAGTGCCGCTGTCCGGGCAAAATTTCCCTCATAGCACACTGTATGGCGTATGCCCGTCTTCATTAGCCCAGTTCGGAGCAGAACAGTAGGACGTTAAACCCCATTTCATTTTTATTATATCGTCGCTCGCTAGCCTGTGCTCGATCCCTGCATTGGTCGAGGAAGTTAATCGGATTTTCAGACGTGGTTTCACCTTATAATTGGTGCAGGACGAAGGACCTGGCAATGACAGGTGTCTAGTCGTCCGGATGGGACGGAAAAATGAAAAGAAATGAAATGAAATGGGGTTTAACGTCCTACTGTTCTGCTCCGAACTGGGCTAATGAAGACGGGCATACGCCGGTGTCCGGGAAAAAATTCCCTAAAAAGGATATTCTGTAAGGCTTATGTCCGTCTTCATTAGCCCGGTAGAAGCAGAACAGTAGGGCGCTAAACCACATTTCATTTCATTTATTTTATCGTCTAAACATCGCTTTGGGTAAATCTAAAACCTAGTCGTTATCTAATGAAGCGTGTTATATATGTTTTGATTCTAAACTAGAATATAATTAATAACTCGAGATCTCTCTCTCTCTCTCTTTCTCTCTCTCTCTCTCTAAACACCTCTATGAATAAATCTTAAACCCAGTCGTTATCGTGCGTGTTTGAGTTTATTTAAAGTAGACAATAATAACAGTATTTCTCTATCGTCTATAAGTTTACCAACAATATTTCCATGACCGTGGTCGCGTGATATAAGATTTATATAACGAATGTAACACATACCTGTTCGCCGACACTTTCCGTAATTTTCATTCTTGTAGAAAAAAATGTATTTTATCCTTACTACAGTCTAGACTCTTAAATAACTACGTTAGTACACATGATTTATATGAAGTCGTTCAATATGATTGCTTATAACACAGTACGACGCTATAATATTATCTTTAATGAATGCTTATAGCAGTTTGTCTGCATACAATAAGGGGTTACTATGAACGCTTCATTGATAAGAATCAACCTTCAGAACGTCAAGGAGCGTGATATATGATATTACCTATATTTGTTTACTGTGTCCATTATTCATTTCGTAAACAAACAAACACTACCGAATTTGAAATGAAATGAGAATTATTGTCCTACTTTTCTGCTCCGACTGGGGAACCACGCCGGAAAATCCCGTTGAACGTTTTCGGCCAACGCGGGGATCGAACACGTGACCTCCTGGTTACGAGCCACCGTGGCTCCCGTCTATCTAATTTAAAGTTGCACAGTAGCAATGTGTGAAAAAAAATGAGGGTTTAAAGTCCAACTTTTCAGCTCCTACTGTTATATAGAATCCCAGCCTTTCAATTCATCATTTACGTACATGCCGATGTATACACATAGATAAAGGGGCCCGGGTGACCGAATAGTTAACGCGTGTGTGTTGGATTAGAAGGTCTGTCATTGAGTTAAGTGACAAGGTGTAGGGTCGCCTGAATAACCTCGTGGGTTTTCTCCGGGTCCTCCGGTTTCCTCTCACTTCTAAAGACCCCTACGCGCAAGCGAATTGTTGAAATAAAATTGAACCGTGTTGGTCCCGAAATGACCTAATTTGTGTCGTGTGGACGTTGAACTCCATTTCTCTCTCTCACACACACATAGGTAATCTCGACTATCGAATTCAAAGTTGCTAGGTAGGTATGAGAAATGAAATGGGGTTTAACTGGATCTAATCTGGAAACTCCCAGTTTTTTTATTTGCCTGGATGTTAAAGATGGAATGAAATGGGGTTTAACGTCCTACTGTTCTGCTCCTATACTGGGCTAATGAAGACGGGCATACGCCATACAGTGTGCTATGAGGGAAATTTTGCCGGGCAGCGGCACTATCGCCTACTCTTATATCGAATTCAATGCAGGGATCGAACACCCGAACTCCAGGCTAGCGAGCCAGCGTCTTAACCACCCAGCCACCGTGGCTGCCCCTAATGAAGACGGGCATACAGTGTGTCATAAGGGAAATTTGGTCCAGACAGCGGCTCTACGTCCTACTCTTATATCGTATTCCAACTGTCAAATGGGTTCTAACGTCCTACTTTTCTGCACCGGTTAATGAAGACATACGCCTATACTCTTATATAAAATTCCAACTTTCAATGGATCTTTTACGTGCACGCCATTGGTTGCTTAATCCCATCCGAACGACTATTCACTGTCCGGAAAATTCCGATGACCAACACCGGGTTCGAACACGGTATAGGGTCGGTTCACTAATCAAGAGATCATGGGTTCGAACACGGTATAGGGTCGGTTCACTAATCAAGAGATCATGGGTTCGAACACGGTATAGGGTCGGTTCACTAATCAAGAGATCATGGGTTCGAACACGGTATAGGGTCGGTTCACTAATCAAGAGATCATGGGTTCGAACACGGTATAGAGTCGGTTCACTAATCAAGACATCATGGGTTCGAACACGGTATAGGGTCGGTTCACTAATCAAGAGATCATGGGTTCGAACACGGTATAGGGTCGGTTCACTAATCAAGAGATCATGGGTTCGAACACGGTATAGAGTCGGTTCACTAATCAAGAGATCATGGGTTCGAACACGGTATAGGGCCGGTTCACTAATCAAGGGGTCACGGGTTCGAACACGGTATATGGCCGGGACACTAGTCAAGAGGTCACGGGTTCAACCCAGATTTTGCTTCTGGAAGTTCTTCGAAATTCTAGTCTGGTATTCCCCGTCTTTTGATGCAAAAAAGTATGGCGTTACTCGCCATTTCTTTTCATTTCCAGTATGGCTTCCCCTTCTTCATTATCCCGGTAGGTACAGAAAAGTAGGACTTTTAACCCCGTTTCATGTCATTTCGATCTAGTTTATGTTGAGTGGACGTTAAACCCAATTTCTCCATCAACTCTTGTCAGGGAGATCCTCTGCCCTGTACCAGGGAGACAAATTGGAAAACCCTGACGAACTGTAGTCTTCTGGTCCCTGTTTCTCGAAATCTTAACTAAAGATAAAATTCAAATTTTACTAGATATTTCAATTTTGATTGGCTAAGCACTAACATCAATCTGATATTACCCAATCAAATTACTAAAGGTTTAATTTTATCTTAGTTAAAATTTCGTGAAACATGCCCGTGGTTATTAAGCCAGTGCCTTACACACCGAGCCACCGTGGCTCCTTGTCAAGAATTCTTTTTGTGTAATTAACAAGACATTAATTTGATATAATACCGCCATTCGATCTTACCTTCATTAATCACGTGTCTTGGTAGAATGACATGTAAATGGATTGGTTTAGTTTCTGGGTTAATTAGTCTATTAGTAAGTGCACGAGGACCGGACCACACAGCACACAAACAAATCCCATTACGTGCTTGTCCACGAGAAAACCATGCAAAATCGGGAAGGTGAGGGGTCGGCCGATTCAATTCATATTCATGGGGTTTGGTCATGCCCATGAGACTACTCGATAGCCAAATTCGCCGACCCCTCACCTTCCCGATTTCTGCATGGTTTTCTCGTGGACTGGCACTTAAACCAACTCGTGGACAATGGGAGAGAGAGAGAGAGAGAGGGGGAGGGAGGTTAACGTCCACTCCATACAAACTAGGTCATTTCGGGACAAACATACGGTTCAATTTTATTTCAATAATTCGCTTGCGCGTAAGGGTCTTTAGCGATGGGAAGAAACCGGAGGACCCTGAGAAAACCCACGATATTCGATAGGCGACCCTCATACTTGTCACGTACAAGCGGGGAATCGGAACTCGTAGACAATATGGAACACAAACTATAAAATGAAATGAAATGAAGTGGGGTTTAACATTCTATTGTTTTGCTCCGAACTGGGCTAATGAAAACGGGCATACGCCCAACTGCGGCCTACTCTTATATCGAATTCCAACTGTCAAGGGATCTTTTACGTGCACGCCAATGTGCACACGGGACCTCGGTTTCCGTCCAATCCGAACGACTAGACAGCTGTCTTGTCAGGTTCTCCGTCCTTCAAATTCAGTCGCATCTTTTCTTTGTTTTTTTTTGGTTTTTTTTGATAAACGGAATTATGCCACAAATCTGTATTAGTTACACTTCCATATTTCCCATATTGTTAATATAAGGATACGAAATGTAATGAGGTTTAGCGCCATACTGTTCTGCTCGGACTGGGCTGATGAAGGCGGACGTACATACGCCATACAATGTGCTATGAGGGAAATTTTGTCCGTATATCGAATTTAAACTACCAAGGGATCTTTTACGCGCACGGCGTTGTGAAAACGTCCCATCCGAACGACTAGACAGCTATCCTTGCCAAGACCCCCGTTCTGCACCACTGACAAGGGGAAACCACGTCGGAAAATCCCGATGTTCCACGTTTTTAATCCTATCAATTACTATAGTTATGTTGTTAAAAACTGAATAGCTATGTAGTTTCTAGACCGTTTTCTACGATGAACGGACATTTTGAAGACTTGTAAACTCTCGCCAGATCATAATATACATTAGAGGAATCGTCAGTGAATCGACAGTGATTGAGAAATATTGTCTTTTATGTGGATTATCTCCCTTGTGTTGTTTTCATTTTGGGTGAAACTGTTTTTTTCACAGGGTAAGGACTGGACAACACAGTGGACGTTTTTGTTTTAGCGTCCTACTTTTCTGCACCAACCGGGATAATGAACGCCATGCAGTGTACTATGAGGAAATTTTTTGCCCGTACAACGGCTTGGCGTTTCAACCTACCATTCGTCGAATTCGGGTTTTTGCCCCACCCGAACGACTAGACGCTGTTTTCTGTCAGACCATCTCACAAGGGTGAATCAACAATGTAAAGTGTCAAAAAACTTTCCCGACCATCACCGGGATCGAACCCGTGGCCTCTTTGTCTAATTTTGCCAGCACCCTAATCACTGAGTGAGCCAAAATAACCAACAATTACATTTATACACATATAAAATCAGAACCTACCTGGTCGCGGCTTTGAAATCCAATTTACACTCAGACATGTTCATTAACGGTATCGTGTCACACGGAATACAACCAAATGCACACGACGTAGCCAATTTAAACTACAATACACGGAATCGAGTGCAACAGGGCAGCGTGATCGGTCAATAAAATAAATCAAGTAAGTCAATCACTTGTAAAAAGCTAATTTACTCAGGTTCCTCCAATAAATGTACGTTGCCATGCCGACTTTTTATCTTAGGAAAATAATCAATCAATTGTTTGTAATTGATTTAGAATTGTCATGATATGGATAGTGTGAAGGATTTAAATATTTTAGACGAAGATATGGTTGATACGAAAATATCTTGACAACCGATAACACGGGATATAGAGTTGTACTAAGTACACTTATAGATCACATTATAATTATATGTCCTTTTTTGTTCCGAACTGGGCTAATGAAGACGGGCATACGCCATACAGTGTGCTATGGGGGAAATTTTGCCCTGACAGCGGCACTACTCATATATCGAATTCCAACTGTCAAGGGATCTTTGACGTGCACGTCAATGTGTACACAGGACCTCGGTTTTTCGTCCTGCATCACTGACAAGGGTGAACCACGCCGGAAAATCTGGATGAACTTTCTCGGCCAATGCAGGGATCGAACACCCGACCTTCAGGCTAGCGAGCCAGCGTCTTACCCACTTAGCCATCGTGACCCCCCAGCACATATGAAATGAAAGAAAATTCTCTAGATCAAATTAAATGGAGCTTTACGTCCTACTTTTCTGCACCGACTGGGCTAATGAAGATTGGTATACGCCATACAGTGTGCTATGAAGTATATTTAGTCCGGGCAGCGGCGGCTTTGGCCTACTTTTATTTCCAATTCCATCTGTGTATGGTTCGTTAAGGTCCCATCCGAACGATTAGACACTGTTCTTTATCATTCCCTCCGTCTTCCATCACAAACTAGATAATTTTGAGACTAAACTCGAAGAATGCAGAAAACTATTAAACTGGGTTCGTCCTTCCGTCTGTCCGCCCGTCTGTCAGGGGAATGCTCACTAGTGCGCGGGGGCACTGGTCCGCGGGTGCACTAGTCCGCCGTTATCTATTATTGTCATCTTTACGATTGATGATCACACGCAAATGCACACCCGTAACGAACTCTGGCAATAATACTAACGCAACCACCATGACAATGAAATGTAACGTACCCACCCTGACAATTAAATGTAATACAACAACCCCGACAATGCAATGTAATGCACCAACCCTGACAATGGTCTGTACACCACGACGTCACTACATGATACCAATCAGCCATCATACTTGCTGGGGTTTTTTTTTGATACACATAATATACAGTATTTTTTTTTTATAGCGGCTCACTAGTGCACCCGCGGTTTACCCACAGACTAGTGAACCAGCGGGCTAGTGCACCCGCTGACCAGTGATCCCCTCTCGTCTGTTAAACGGTAACTGTTTGTAAAGACCCGAACAAGGATTCGTTGCTCAAAAATTGATTAAATGTGAAAACATATGTTTGCGTTGTGTAACGGTTTCTTTTTTAATTACGCGTATACTGGTAAAATAGTGTGTTCAAGGTCACCAAATGGCGTGTTTAAGGTCACAAAATATCTACATTATCGATCTTATGATTAATTATTCAACGTTCAATTTCATGCTGTTAAAATGGCGTCGTCACAGTTAATTGAGTGGTTACGATTGCATGCAGCTAGATAAGATTTATACTTTTTAATTAGTTCTATCTTACAACCACATAAACATACTGGCCTAGATTTTATAGGATTCATGAAAAATGCAACAAAACAAATCAGGGTTTGTGTTTGTCTTATAAAAGAGACATTCTACTAGTCTCTATCACCCAGAACAATTTTCTACGAATATAAGTCGGGATGCGTTGCTAACATTTGAGAATAATACGTCATTGTCTAGATTATCCGGTCTTTTATATTATCATAAACAAAGTCTAAGGGAGGTAACTAGTCCTAAAACAAGATGCTGGCACGCATGAAATTAATTTAAGAATGTCATTTCAGGAAATCGAGAATAGATCTCTGTCCTCAATGGCCGCCATATCCAACAATTAGTGTTTTGTTTTGTAATGCGGTTCTACTCCGGTTCACATCTGTTATACACAAACAGACTAATTAAACCTTTTCAATTTTATTAAATGAAAGCAAAATAATACATACTTCGTAAAATGCCCGTCATATTGAAATCACGCCACATAACTCAATGACTGACCTTATAATACAACGCGCACGCGTTAAATCATTCGGTCACCCAACTCCAGTCCTATAGAGAATGAAATTTATTGATCGAATTAGCAATTATAGGTCCTAAAGTACCTCTTATTATACGGAAAGTCCAGACTTGTCCACTAAAACATTATATATTGGACATAAGTTTGGTTGTTCATTTATTATTTTGTGACTTGAATGTCAATAAATGCATTAATTATTCAAGAACTTTGACAAGCCAATCCGTCCATTAATCAAATAGTTTGAACACAGATATAACATCTATCAAAACATGAAATCAAATGAAATGGGGTTGAACGTCATTAGTCCAGTTGGTGCAGAAATGAAAATTAAATGAAATGGGGTTTAACGTCCTACTGTTTTGCTCCGACCGGGTAATGAAGACGGGCATACGTTATATAGTGTTCTATGAGGGACATTTTGCCTGGACAGCGGCGCTACGGCCTACTGTTTTATCGAATTCCAACTGCTAAGGGATCTTTTACGTGCACGCTAATGTGTACATGGAACCTCGTTGTTTCGTACTATCTGAACGAATAGACAGCTATCCTTGCCAGGCCCACCACCCTTCCCACCACGGTCATACACGCTATAAGGAATACATTTGGGACGTTAAACCCCATTTCATTTCATTTCTTATTCGAATTCTAACTGTCAAGCATTCTTTTACGCCTACCTAAATCAAACCGACAAGACACTGTCCTTGCAGTGGTCTCCGTCTTACACCACATCCAAGGGAAACCTCGCTGGAAAGTCCTGATGAACTTAATCTGGGCCAACACCGGGAGCGATCTCAAGACACAATACTTAGCGATAAAGCGTCTTAGTCACTGACACACCAGGGCTCCATCATTTTAAACGAAAGTCTGATTGCCGACATGATTTTAAATAACACGCTAAGACATATCACTGTAGAAACATTTCGCATTATCTTTGAAGTTTTAACTATGCTTTTTCTCTTTTTGTTTCAAGTTCCCAACTTCTGTTTTATTGGAGGGGGTTGGATGGCCGAATGGTTAGCACGTGCGTGCTGTATCATACGGCCTGTCATTGAGTCAACTGGCGTGGTTTCGAATCCCCGGTTGTACGTGACAAGGAGTAGGGTCGCCTGTCCAACCTCGTGGGTTTTCTACGGGTCCTCCGGTTTCCCCCCCACTGCTAAAGACCCCTACGCGCAAGCGAATTATTGAAATAAAATTAAACCATATGTTAGTCCCGAAATGACCTAGTTTGTGTCGAGTGGACGTTAAACCCCATTTCTCTCTCTCTCTCTCTCTCTCTCTCTCTCTATTTTATTGGTGTTTATACGTAATTACCAAAAACATGGGCATGACTAAATTGAAATTCGACTTTATGAAAGGTGATTTTAGGTTTATGTTCCCTGGGGTTTAACTACATTATTCACCTCCAGCGAAGGCACAGCATGTTCAGCAGATTCCCCTTATTCCACAGCATGTTCAGCAGATTCCCCTTATGCCACAGCATGTTCAGCAGATTTCCCTTATTCCACAGCATGATCAGCAGATTCCCCTTATGCCACAGCATGTTCATCAGATTCCCCTTATGCCACAACCTTTATAAACTTGAATAGCGCAACAACTTTTATAAACTTTAATGATGCAATGATGCCACAACTTTTATAAACTTTAAATGCCACGACTTTTATAAACTTTAATGATGCAATGATGCCACAACGTTTATAAACTTTAATCATGCCACAACTTTTATAAACTTTAATGATGCAATGATGCCACAACTTTTATAAACTTTAATGATGCCACAACTTTTATAAATTTTAATGATGCCACAACTTTTATAAACTTTAATGATGCCACAGCTTTTATAAACTCTGGCAATTCCACAACTTCCATAAACTTTAATGATGCCACAGCTTTTATAATCTCTGGCAATTCCACAACTTTTATAAACTTTAATGATGCCACAGCTTTGATAATCTCTGGCAATTCCACAACTTTCATAAACTCTGATGTTGTCATAACTTCCATAAACTCTAATGATGCAGTAACTTTCAGAAACTCTGATGATGCAATAACTTTCCACCGAGATTTTAAAACGATAAAACGTCTATGGCTTACATCGTGTTCAAAAGACTTGAAAAATGTGAATGTAAACGTGTGCATGGTTTACACTGCTTTGACTGACCGAAACATTCATTCTGAATTTCGAAAGGATTCTTCCTGGTGAGCAAATAATATTGTGGACTGAACGACCGACGCAGGTGAAAACAATATACGCCGAGATTAAATGTGAAGCGTATAATGAAGTCATGGCTTTAATCGTCATTTCTGTCATGGAATACTTCATTTAAATATTTTACATTGATATATTGCCCGAAAGGTCGATAATCAACCCATGAAAAATGAAACAGTAGATAAAAATCTTTTGTCGTCAATATTATTACTTTTTGACTTGAATACATTCATTTTTGAAATTGTTTTTGAAACTGTCGAAAAAAATGAAATATTGACTCATTTTTTAAAGTCGATTAAGTTGTCAAGACTTGGAGGGTAAGTAGGACTGGCTAGGGTGGTTGATCATCAGTCGATCGACAAAACTCTACTGATTCTACAAGAACTATGGAGGTTTTCATTGTGGTACTTCTTGCTCTGGTGGCTTGCTGCCATTCCGCACAGGTGACTAACATTCACCCACCAGGTAACTCTCTTTTATTATATTTGATTATAGGGAGGGGGGGGGGTGATTCAATGGGTAAGTGGCTGACTCGCTAACCTGAAAATCCCGTGTTCGATCCCCGTGTTGACCGAAAAAGGTCATCGTGGTTCCCCCTTGTCAATGATCCAGGAAACGGGGACCTGGCGAGGGACAGTGTATAGTCGTTCGGATGGGACGGAAAACCTAGGTCCAGTGTACTCATTGGCGTGCACGTAAAATTTAACTTGCCAGCTGGAATTCGATATAAATGTAGGCCACAGCGCAGCTGTCCGAGCAAAAGTTCCCTCATAGCACACTGTATGTTGTATGGTATGCCCGTCGCCATTAGCCACACGGAGCAAAACAGTAGGACTTTAAACCCCATTTATTGACCTTTTAGTTCCTCCCACTTTATATTTTGACCTCAATTTACTAATTGACTTTTCTGTCAGAGACTTTTAGCTCCTCCCATTTTTTATAATGACCCCGACTAACTAACTGATTTTTTTTAGCCCCTCCCCTCCCCCATTTATTTTATAATAACGTCACCTTACTATAAATTTTGCAGATGAGTTCCAGTTAATCGACTGTAATAGATGGACGGAATTTTTTAACCAGGACAGCCCTAACGCCACTGGTGATGACGAAACATTAACTAGACTTCGAATAGGAAGAAATGGACGCACTATCTGTGCCAATCCATCCACAATGGAATATCAAACCGTTTCTGGAGACGATTGTATTAACAACGGGGAACTCCTGAAATATGGTCCCGATTATGGCCTGCTCTGTCTGAATGCTCAACAGCCTGATCAAAAATGTAATGATTACAAAGTTCGATTCTGCTGCAAGGACAGTGAGTATTTGGCACATACGCGTGATAGAAAAACTAATTTTAATATTTTAGAAAATCTTTTAACACAATTTTAATATTTTAGAAAATCTTTTAACATAATTTTAATATTTTAGAAAATATTTTAACATAATTTTAATATTTTAGAAAATCTTTTAACATAATTTTAATATTTTAGAAAATCTTTTAATGGAATTTTAATATTTTAGAAAATCTTTTAACACAATTTTAATATTTTAGAAAACTTCTTAACACAATTGTGATATTTTGAAAACTTTTTAACATAATGTTAATATTATGAAAACTTTTTAACATAATTTTAATATTTTGAAAACTTTTTAACACTATTTTATTATTTTGAGAACCCTTAACTCAATTTTAACATCTTAGAAAATCTTTTAACATAGTTTTAATATTAAAGAGGACAACGGGTATTCGCCATTTAGTACGTAATGGGGGAATTTTGACTGGAGAACGACGCTCAGGAGGACTCGTTTTTTGATTGTTAAGACGCTGCCAACTTCCTTCACGAATCTGTATCAAAATTATCAATAGCCTAATATCGATTAATGGATTGTCGTTTCATAAATAAAATATATATTTTGTGAACCAGAAACCCAATCTACACGCTTCTCGCAATTTCAGGGAATATAGTACCCGATTATATATCAAAATGTTGACCTTTCACGCAATCTCTACTTCGAGAATAAATCTCTGTCCTCAATGGCCGCCATATCCAACAATTAGTATACTGTTTTGTAATGCGATCCTACTCCGGTTTTACTCCGGTTCACATCCGTTATACACATAAAGACAGTTAAATCGTTTCTATGGAAGACCAAACAGCACTTTATTCAGTGTTCTTAGCCCTTATTAACAAATGTTAATTTTAGTGTACAAATGTCGAAATACGACAACAAGTGAAGAAAATAATTATTATTATTATTATTGTTCGATTTATATAGCGCTTCATTACACATGAGTATTTCTAAGCGCATTCACAACAAAACAGTTCAAAAACATTTTTGAAATTAGTATGTTTTTAAGTTAGTCTTAAAGCTCTGGATGGAAGAGGACTCTCAAAGAGTTTTTGGAAGATCACTCCACATTTTAGCTGCTCTGACGGAGAAAGCATATTCACCAGAACGCTTATTAATAAGAATTAAGGACAATGAATTAAGAACTAAGAATTAAGAGCTATTTGGTCTTCCACGCGTTTCAATTGATTTAAATGAAAGCAGAATATATCCTCCTCAAAATTCTGAAATATACTTATGGACTAAAATTGTCGATTCAGGACTTTTAAAAAATGGTGGTGAACTAACATAGTATCTGTGTTCAAACTAATTGCAAACACAGACAGCTTTAAGTTTAGTATGAGTAAAATCACAGGAATCTGACCTTCTAATCGTATATATATTTACGATTGCCTGACATTACGAATTGTTGAAAGAAAAACGAGTCGAAGCAAGAGCAGGTAAAATTGAGGCTTCAACAGACATTGTATTCCTGTTCTTTTTTTATTATATATTGTCTAGTTGAGTATGGTGTATGCATATAGATACGGATAGAAGGTCAGATTCCTGTGGTAAAATGTAGAATATAAATAAATGCTATATTATTTTCAGGACGAGTTCGGTGCCCACAGGGATACCAGTGGACACGCTACTTCGACGCCGACGATCCAACAGGCACTGGAGATTGGGAGACGTTAAAAAACTTGCGATCCCATAATCCAATATGCCAATATCCGATCGCCATTGATGCCCGAGTTAATGCCACTGGGCGCAAATACTTTACCACTGGTGAGAGGGTGACTGTCTCTCCATCGTACGGCTTTGTCTGCAGAAATAAAAACCAGGCCGACCTGTGCTGCGAAGATTACAAAGTCCGATTCTGTTGTCCTTGTGATAAATAAATATCTAAATGGATAACATGTTGGAATGCTGAAACTGAGAAAGTCTCCCTTTTGAAAGACTCCCTTGTAATAAATACAAATGGATAAGACTAAATATTAAATATCTCACACTTAATACATGCCAAATGTGCACCCAAATTTAATTCAAATTAGAAAACAAAATCAAAATACCAACGCTAGATAATATATAGACTTGTATTCTTTTGGGTAAAGGGTGGGGGAGGAGCAGCTTCTCATCTGCAAACAAAGGGAAACTACTCTCTGTTTAGATGGCGGCAGACCACCTAGCTGGCCGGTAATCTGTAGCTTGCAGTTGTAATTTCGATCCCTCGTGTGAACGTATGTGGCTTGGAGCGCCTTATCAACCTTGTGGGTGCACTCCGGGTACTCAGATTTCCTCCCACAGCCAAGACCCTTGTACGTAACAAAAATGAACTGAAATGGATTTTAACGTCCCACTGTTCTGCTCCGACTGTGCTAATGAAGACGAATGCTATGAGGGAAATTTTGTCCAGACAATGGCGGTACGGACTACTTTTATTTCGAATTAAAACTGGCAGGGGTTCTTTGACGTGCACATCAATTAATATTTTGGACGTAGATACCCAATGCTTAATAAATTACGTACAATGTTTCTGACAGACGCTTCTCATCTGCAACCCAAGGGGAATTACTCTCCGTTTAGATGGGCTCAGACTAGCAATTATTCGTCGATTGACTTCAATGCTAAATGGCTGTAACATCACAGGCTGTAGCTTTTTGCTCAACATTCTGTTGGTTAGAATCTTGATAGGCACAATGGGGACAGCATTTTGCAATCTTCTCATCATAATTTTGTAGAATTTTTGCTACGGGGATTTAATGTTGACTTGGGTCAAAATCTTACTTCCGACACAATGATTGCTCTGCAGAAAGACACTTTACACCTCCTATATCATCAGTATTACCCAAAACTGCTATGGAATTGCAAATTTGATCCGTTTTCTCCAATTCTAGACCTAAAAGTCAACGAAAAAAAAAATTAAAGAAAAAATTGTCTATTTGTAACTCGCATTACATCATCATCAAATAAGGGATAATAATATCTAGTCTGAGTTCAGATGGCCACAGTACACAATCACTCGGCAAACCTCGGCATATTCCGGTACCGTACATCTATCGTCGGCTGTATGACGGTAAGTGATATGTACCTACGCCTATACAATTGCGATGAGGCAACGGTTTACTTATAAGAAAACCATGCCAATTTAGAAAGAAGTTCTCACAATTGCGTCGTTCGGAGAGTGTGTAGAATTTTCAGTGCAAACTTGTCCTTGTCTGGTGGGTGGGGGGATGGCCGAATGGTTAGCACGTGCGCGCTGTATCATAAGGCCCGTCATTGAGTCAACTGACGTGGTTTCGAATCCCCGGTTGTACGTGACAAGGAGTAGGGTCGCCCGTCTAACCGCGTAGGTTTTCTCCGGGTCCTCAGGATTCCTCGCACAGCTAAAGACCCCTACGCGCAAGCGAATTATTAAAATAAAATAAAAACCATATGTTAGTCCCGAAATGACCTAGTTTCTGTCGTGCCGACGTTAAACCCCAACTCCCCCCCTCTCTCTCTCTCTCTCTCTCTCTCTCTCTGTCATTGTCTAAAGAAAATCGGAAAGAAAAACAGCTTCAGACTTCGAAATATTTGTATAATAAAACATTCTTTAGGGCGTCGTCATGGGCAACGCCGTTGGTAATCCGGGAACTTGAAAGTAGATTCAATTGCGGACTTCGTCATACAGCCGAGGCTAGATATAGGTTACTGGAATCTGCTGAGGTTTGCCGAGTGAGTACACAATTAATTTCCCCATTGACTCTAATGTTAATTCTGGTCTATTTGACTGGCTCTAACATTTTCGTTGGGCCGCTTTCTACCACAAATGGAGCAACATGTGGCAACCGTTTGCTCAAAAGCATTGTTTGAAGTTCACCATGGACATCTTGAGATACACAAACCAGAAGTTGTAGTAATATCGTCGTTGCAACATTGTTTGTAAATTTATAGACAAGGAGTATAGATATAAGATGGTTTAAACAATATTTGTATCTTTACAAATTATTCTCTATTGTCATTATATTAGCTATGGTATGCAATCTGATCTCCCTTTGCAATATGTAGATTTGACTTCAGACCATCCACGAAGCTTTGTTTAAAAACAACGACAAAGATGAAACATATCAGAAGTTTAAACATCATGGCACTGGATGTGCAAAAGTGGAACCAATCTATTCTACAATAACACGGTGGCCCTGTTAAAAGTGAAATGAAATGAAATGAAATGAAATGAAATGGAGTTTAACGTCCTACTGTTCTGCTCCTAACCTGGGCTAATGAAGACGGGCATACGCCATACAGTGTGCTATGAGGGAAATTTTGCCCGGACAGCAGCACTACGGCCTACTCTTATATCGAATTCCAACTGTCAAGGGATCTTTTACGTGCACGCCAATGTGTACACGGTACCTCGGTTTTTCGTCTCATCCGAATGACTAGACAGCTTTCTTTTTCAGCCCCTCCGTCCTACATCACTGACAAGGGAGAACCACGCCGGAAAATTTGGATGAACTTTCTCGGCCAATGCAGGGATCGAACACCCGACCTGCAGGATAGCGAGCTAGCGTCTCACCCACTTAGCCACGTGATCCCTCCCCCCCTGTTAAAAGACTGGTCTATTCTACAAAAACAGGTTGACAGGTTGGTTTATTCTAGGTTCTTGTTAAATGATGAAATGCAGCAGACATTCCGATGTATCTGGGGCGAGACGGTTCATATGTTTATATGTCTTAATGCTTAGCCGTCTTCTTCAAGTACGTGTTAAACATTCGGCCACACAACCCCCCACCCCCAATGACCTATAATAGATGATTTATAATTTAGATGAGAAAATATTTATAGGTTTTTAGTAATCTTAATGCTTAGCCGTCTTCTTCAAGTACGTGTTAAACATTCGGCCACACAACCCCCCACCCCAATGACCTATAATAGATGATTTATAATTTAGATGAGAAAATATTTATAGGTTTTTAGTAATCAATGGATGTAACACACATCAAACGGATCGTGGTTGTCCTGATCATACCATATTATTTAAAGCGAATTGTACTATAACAGTATTCAAATATATACAAATATTTAGAGCAGAACGCTTCTGAACAATAAATACTATATTGCCTTGCGTAAAATGACGAAAACAACTTTTAGTATCTCGGTTAGTTAGTTTCTTGACCTTAAATATACATTTTTCAAGGCCTTAAATGTTATATAAATTATTAATTAGAAATTTATTAACTTGCCAAAACAATAATCAACTCTCGATGCCGTCGGGTGCTCTAGTTTTCAACAGATTTAAATACGACTGACAGTTAATGATTTACATGTAATTAAAAGTTGATAATAGAGACTTTGTTTACTATCGTATCAATGGTAGCAATGACAACCGAGACTCCCTCTATTATTCAGACTGAATTTTTCAAGATATTCCGGCTCCAATATTTAATTTTTAGGTAATTTGACTGAAATTTTTAAGATATTCTCTTTACAGTATCTATTTTTTTTACTATTACAGAGAGCATTGTCAGCTCTTTAACTGAATCTTACATAATGTATCTTTAACTTTTTCTTTAATTTATTCTCACACTTGATACAATTTATTTGGACTTCAATGGCTATTTTCAGTGTCACGAAAGGAATTTAAAGTAGTAGTCCCATATTCCACCGACTACCTTTGATACGACAATTTGTTATTGTACTTGATATGCTAACATTTTTGCAAGAGATGGGCAGAGAACAAGGTAAATACAAATACAATCGGTCTGTGTATAAATTCAAGGTCAAACTGTGAAGGGATTAAGATTGGAAAATGGTATCCGTTGATACAAGTGTATTAAAATAAAACGCCATAATACTAAGATATCATTACAGTTTGAGACTTGACGTCATCCAGATACGAAACTGGTCGTTTTTGTTTTGGTTTTAAAACAGAAGAGGATAAATTTATTTTAACAAATAATTAATCACTGACGTAAATCTGGGAATGTACAGGGCGAGGGGGGGGGGGGGCTGACAAGGGCAGTGTCTTGTCACTAAGTTAGAATTCGATATTATAAGTAGTGTCACTGTCTGGTAAAAATTGCCCTCCTTGCACACCTTTAAACCCCTTTTCATTTCATTTCATATCTGGGACGCCTCCTTTAATATTTTTATATCAACTGAATATAAACCGTCTCGCGTCAGATACATCAAAAGGTCGTCGGCTGCCTTTCGTCTTTTATTGTTGTTGTAGAATAGGCCAGTCTTTTAACAGGGGACATAGCGTTATTGTAAAATATACCAGTCTGTCAAGAGGGACATAGCGTTTTTGTTGAATAGGCCAGTCTGTCAACGGGGACACAGTGTTATTGTAGAATAGATCGATTTTCTTTATTTCACATCCAGTGCCATAATGATTAAACTTCTGATATATTGTATATGTATCGTTGCTTTTAAACAAAGCTTCGTGGATAGTCTACAGATTAAGAAGAGAGACCAGATAGCTAAACTTAGCGGCGATCAAAACCCGATAGTAACCTATAGATTGGCGAGCAAGAAGAATATCTATGAAGAGGACGAGATCGAAACCAAGACTGAGAATATGGTGGATAACTCTAGAGACGCCTTGAACAAACTATTTTACGTGTTACGTGCCATAAAAGTGGAAAAGTTGGGAGAGGTGGTACAAGCCAGGCACCGGGGAAGGAGGTCAGCGGAGGCCATGATGCAAGGTACGGGAGAAGGAGATGGCCGTGAGGGATTAGTTAGAAGATTACCATAACTTTACATATATATCTACAATAATAGATGTACTGTATACAATACTATTTCGCTTGGATATTTTTTTAACGCTTATTCATGTAGGATCTACTTACTTAAAGTATGTACTGCAGTATTTTTAGGATTAATAAAAATGTAAACAGGTACCAGATATTTATTTATTTATCTATTTTTTTTTGGAAAATGTGCTGTGAATTTTTATGTGAAACCAGACAATCCACAAATATTTTAAAAGTCAAAAGAAGTTTATTTCTAAAAATTATTCAAGGACCACGAAAAGAATTGACAACTTTTTTTTAAAGAGTTATTAC